GATTGAGAGAACAGATGTGCGTGGGAAGGGCTCAATTTAAGGTCTCTTTCTTCAGGGGGAATCCTATCTAATAAAGAGGGAATATGCTAACCGACCATCACTCTATCACAAAGATGGCTACACTCACAGCTGAGGCCAAGTTCCCTTAAGGAGCCTTAACAAGCATTCAACAGGGACCTGAGGTCATGCCCCCCACTCACCAGGGTTTGACAGGGGACCTCAGGCTGCTCCCCCTTCCCCTGCCCCAGCACCAGGCTGGGGACCTCAGGCCACGTGCCTCACCTGGCTGGGATTGACGGGGGACCTTATCAAGTGCTGGGTGGGGGTAGCAGAGCTTGACGGGGAGCCTGAGGCTGTGCCCCTCTCCTGGTGCCAGGCTGGGGGACCTCAGGCTGCACCCCCTGCCCCAGCACCAGGCCAGGGGACCTGAGGCTGCACCCCCTGCCTGGCAGGCAGGGCTTGACAGGGGACCTCAGGCTGCAGGCTCTTCCCACCCGCCACCTGGCAGGGTGTGAAGGGGGACTCAGGCCATGCCTCCCACCCAGCAGAGCTTGACAGGGGATCTCAGGCTGTGTCCCCCACCTGGTGGAGTTTGATGGGGGGCCTCAAGGCACATCCCCCACCCCATCTGGCAGCACCCTCCATCCTGGTGCCAGGCCAGGGGACCTGAAGCTATGCCCCCTGCCTGGCAGAGCTTGACAAGGGTAGGACTGGCCAGGTCTGGATCTAGCCCAATGGGAGGAGGGGGGTCTGGGTCCCATGCAATTTTGAGGCATATGTGGGTGAGTGGGGACTTGACTCCGAGTCCCCCCTTTTTTTTTTATTGATTTTTTACAGAGAGGAAGGGAGAGGGATAGAGTGTTAGAAACATCGATGGGAGAGAAACATTGATCAGCTGCCTCCTGCACACCCGCTACTGAGGATGTGCCTGCAACCAAGGTACATGCCCTTGACCGGAATCGAACCTGGGACCCTTTAGTCCACAGGCCGATGCTCTATCCACTGAGCCAAACCAGTTTTGGCATGGGTCCCCCCTTTTAATGTGCATGAATTTCATGCACCAGGCCACTGGTAAAAGTAATAAAAGCCAACCCCACTTCAAGGGACCACAACACAATGCCAGGAAGAGGGAGCTGAGTGATCTGAGTGATTCTGAGTCAGTCAGGGAGGTCTTCCTGGAGGAGGTGAGTCTTAAGCACTTGGCAACAGCTGTTAACTAATCTGTTACCACACCTTTGTTTCTAACGTGCCCCCTCTTTTCTTGCAACTGTGGGTAGATAGACAGAAAATATCAGGGAAGTGCGACCTATAGGATAGTTCACCACTGTCATGGCAAACACTTCCACATTCTGTGGGACTCTGTTTGTGCTTAGCAGGGGCAGTTCCAGGATTTATGAGGTGTCTAGCTCAAGCAGAACTCCTTGTGCTGGCCCAGCATGCATAGCTCAACCCCAGCTGAGAGCAGGAAGCTGCCTGTACACCGAAGCCTCATTTCCTCCTTGAAGCCTTCTTCACGCCCTTTTCAACTTGGCACTTACTGCCTGTGCTACTGTTTTCATTTTATTAGTTTTTTAATAGGCAATATAGTCAGGTTCAGAGTACAAACAGATATTCAGTGAAAAATCTCTTTGCGCCGAGACCGGTTTGGCTCAATGGATAGTGTCGGCTTGGGGACTGAAGGGTCCCGGGTTCGATTCCGGTCAAGGGCATGTACCTTGGTTGCGGGCAGATCCCCAGTAGGGGGTGTGCAAGAGGCAGCTGATCGATGACTCTCTCTCATCGATGTTTCTAGCTCTCTATCCCTCTCCCTTCCTCTCTGTAAAAAATCAATAAAATATATTAAAAAAAAAAAAAAAAAAAAAAGAAAGAAAGAAAGAAAGAAAAATCTTCTCTTTGCTCCTAGCCTCTCCCTAGACAGGTGTTACCTGGACCCAATGGTACCAGTTTTTATTCTCCAACCAGATTATAAAATCTCGTGGGGAGCGCAATTGTCTTATACCTCCGTGCCCCAGATGGAGTTTACTGGCCCATTGGTCACTCGGGAGATTTCTAGCACCACATTCTCCCTCCTCCATCAGCACCGATACTATCTTGGATCAGATCCCCAAACCCTTTTATTTGGCCATCCAGCTGCCAATCAGGTCCGTCTCCTAGATACCCTCCACCAGCTGTCATATTGTTCTTCCTATAGTACTGGGCTTCCCACTACCTCTGTATTGCTCCTCAGGTCTCAGGTCAACAGCAAACTCCTTGGCATGATGACTTGGTGGCCTCTGCCTCTCCAGGCCCATCCTCTACTACTTGGACCAGACTACATACTCCCACTATCCCAATTTATTTGCTGGTCTCCGATTGGCTATGCTGTCTCCTGCCTCTAGGCCTCTGTGTGCTCACCTTACCTGGCCAACTCCTAGTGGTGGGTTAGTGCTCCACCCAAGCTCCTCCCCCTCGGAACCGCTTAAGAAATGTCACCTTCTCCCACCACTTGCTCAGTTTCCTGTATCCTCTCTTCCTCAGCACCCAAGGGTTCTCTCTGTGCCAAGCCAGCTCAGCCAGGTTTGGTGAGCCTGAGATGGGGCAGTGAAGGATTGAGAAAAGACAGACAAGAGAAAAGAGTTGAGTCTGGGTGGGACGCTGTCCTTTCTGATGGAGAGCTAGCTACAGCGCACACAGCCTGAAAGCTGTGTCTTTATTTTATAGACAGATTCCAGGAGGCAAAGTAAGGGTGTGGTTACAGTGTTCTCATGAGTTTCGAATCTGCTCAATTACTTGCACCTGATCAAGCTTTATTTCCTTGCTGCACCTCCCGCAGCCTATATCACTTAAGCCACGTGGGGCTACAGGTTCGGACCATACGGTCAAGCTTACAACTATAGCCTTTGGCTGTAATTGTGCTGGGAGGACTTTGCCCTCCAAGCTAGGACTTGCACGTGGCTTTGCCATGAGAGGACCGTGCCCTCTCATTAGTCAGAGGCTTGAACCTGTCCAAACACGGTGGCCGCTCGCCACACCTCTCTATGCCATCTTCTCACTGGGTGATCTCTGTTTAAAATCTGACTCCCCCAGTTCACTGTACGCTCCTCGAAGGATGCTCATCTCTGTGTCTCCCACATATAGCAGATACTCCATCAATACTGGCAGAATGAACCAAGTTCATCTCCCATTTCATAGGCATCTAACACAAAAGAGACAAAGAGACTTCATTTTATTTGATTTTTGCTGCTGCTGCTGCTGCTGCTGAGTCTGATATTATAAAAGAAAACCACCTGTCTCCCCCAGCCCAGAGGGATCCATGCTCCCCCTGAGATCATATTCTCCGGGTCCAAGTGACTCCCGGTGCCAGGCTTCTCCATAGGCAGGAACTTGCGTGTTTAAGTAACAGTATTAAATAGCATGGCATGCCGTGGGGTAATGAGTGTGGCATTGACCAAGGACCAGGTGCTTGAGGAAAATTGCTGGAAAGCTCAGCAGGGATTTATTCATTATAACAGTGGAAATAACTGATAACCATTTATCGATTATTTGTACTCTGCCAAGGATTTTACATACATTATCATTATTTGCCTGTACTCTGCCAAGGATTTTACATACATTATCTCTGACTTAATCCTCACAGCCAAGTGAGTTGGTTATTAGTTATCCCCCTTTATAGATGAGGAGTTTGAGGCATAGAGAGATTAAGTAATTTGTCCAAGCGTCACACAGCCACTAACGATAAAAACGAACACTGTTTCAGAATGTACTGTGTGCAGGGGCTACTAAGTGTTTTCCATGATTGTTTATTGAACTTATTAATCCTTCTAACAACTCTAGGAGGTAGGTGATATTATTACTAGAAGGGGCAGAACTGGGCTTTGCGCACAGGTCTGAGCCATGAACATCTGGTGCTTAACAAGAGACCCTGGTGTTTTCAGAGCTTTCCACAGCAGGCGTTTCAAGCATTCATCCTCTGAGCTGTGGGATCATGTATGTGCCTGGGGGTGCAAGCTGATGAACACCAAAGCTCAGTCCTGCCTGGAATCTTAGATATTCTTTATTAAGCATGAATATTTATAAAATATGTTTAGGGTATAAGGAATAACAGTACCAGTAGCGGCCACCATCCACTTTAAGAAAAAACAATTTACTTTGAAGTCCCCATGTGCCTCTATTCTCATATCTTTCCTCCTTCGGAAACTTTTGTTTCATCGTTCCTTTGGCTTTCTTTAGCATATATTCATATTGTATTCATGAACAATATTGTTTACTCATTTTTGTTTTCATAAACAATGCATTGTTTAGTTTTACATGCTTTACAATTTCCTACAAATGGAATCATATCGTACCTACTCTTCTGCAACTTCTTTTCAATCAATATTACATCTGCAATGTTGCATGTAGAAATAGTTCATTCTTTGTTACTGCTGTAGAGTACTCTGTAATATGGATATATTTCATACTCTATTCATTCTACTGCTGAAGGAAATTTGGGTGGTTGCTATTTTTGCCATTTTTTTTAGTGCTACTAGAAAGATTCTGTTACATGCCTCCTGGTTCATGTGCACTGGAGTTTGAATGGAATATAAAACTAGTAGTAAAACTGCAGCATCATAGGGTGTGTACGTTCTAAATTTTACTTTATAATGCCAAATCGTCTCCCAAAGTGGTTATTTCTAAGAAATCTCTGCATTTAGAATTTTAGTGTTCTGATTATTCTAGATCCACTAATGTCAGAATCTTAGGGCAAGAAAGAAACACTGATTCTGGTTCTCCTCATTTTATGGGTGGAGGAACTTTAGAAGCAAGAAAGCTAAGTGATTGGATAAGGTGGTGTCACTGTTCAGCAACAGAGCCTGCTCTGGAGCCCCAACCCCTGACTCCCTCTCCACCCCTGACCTGTCTTATTTCTTTCCCTTCTCAGGCTGAGGCCCCAAGGTGAGGCCACCGGACATATCAAGCTATTTTCAGGATCGGCCCGGCACTGGAGCTGGCTCAGCCGGGGCCCCCTGTGGTTCCAGAGAATGAGGCTCCTCCGCAGACGTCACATGCCCTTACGCCTGGCCATAGTGGGCAGCGCCTTTGTGCTCTTCCTCTTCATCCTGCAGAGGGATGTCAGCAGCAGGGACCATGCCACGGAGAAACCGTGGCTGAAGTCCTTGGTGAGCCAGAAGGATCATGTCCTGGACCTCATGATGGGGGCCATGAACAACCTTAAGGATTCGATGCCCAAGTTCCAGATCAGGGCTCCAGAGCCCCAGGAGACACTGCTCTCCACAAACAAGTTCTGCCTCCCTGGGTTCTACACGCCAGCTGAACTGAAGCCCTTCTGGGAACGGCCGCCACAGGACCCCAACGGCCCTGGGGCAGATGGGAAGGCTTTTCAGAAGGACGAGTGGACGCCCCTGGAGACCCAGGAAAAGGACAAAGGCTATAAGAAGCACTGCTTCAATGCCTTTGCCAGTGACCGGATCTCCCTGCAGAGGGCCCTGGGGCCAGACACTCGACCCCCTGAGTAAGTAGCCCAGAGTCATCGGGTGAAGCCAGATGAGTGGCTGGTATGGCCATGGCCTTGAGCCAAGTGCCAGGTACAGAGCTAATGGGGATTTTAGAATATGGACAGGGATTTCCTCTACACCCTCACCCCTTTTCCTGACCAATTGCCCTTATCCCAGGGATTGAGGTTCAAGAGTATTCTGGTCAGGCCAGAGGCCTAGGAGTCCTATGAGAGTAGAACACAATTATGAAGGTGACAGTGTACAGACAAAAGAACTCAAGGTCTGGGACCAGGACCTGGCTTAGGGGTGACTGAGAGGGACTGATTCCAGGCCACTGAGAGGGTGGCCCTGCCTCTGCTCCCCCGGGTTTTACACCCGAGCTGAGCTAAAGCCCTTCTGGGACCGGCCTGCCCCGGGAACTATGGGACGCTGCTCCTGAGCTGCTGGGAGAGGGACATTTCCTGCCAGCGGCTCCAGTGGTCAGGACGACCCCCGCACCTTCTGATTCCTTCTTCCAGTGAAGGCGCACGGGACCGTGAATTCATTCCAACCTTTATTTGAAGCTGTTTATAATTTTAATTCTGGGCAATGAACCAGCACTTAGATCTTTGAGCCATAAACCACCTCACTCTTATGTGATCGAGGCTGTGTTCACGCTGTCCTCAAGTCAAAGATTGTGTGTCTTTCTCATTTAGATTTGTCTTTCCCGACTCAAGAGTTATATCCTTTTTGGCCTTTTGTCACGTGGCAGCCCCCATCCCCACATTCATGATTCTCTAGGGCTATGAACCGGGGGTTCCTCAGAATTGAGCAAGCATTATAGTCCTAGAGGTTGGAGCCACTTGGAATTGTCATGAGCTTCTCAACAGGGAAGGAAGGGTGTTGGGCCAGAAGGGAAGCCAGAAGGGAAAGTTTGGGAGCCCCCTCTGGAGACTCCATAAGAAATCTTTCTGACCAGCAGAGGGGATAAGAAAGAGTGTGAGCCTGCAGGTGTCTCTCAGTGCTTAGATTGTTGGCCCACGGGCTGAAGGGTTGAGTGTGCAATTCCTAGTCAAGGGCATATACCTAGGTTGTGGGTTCTATCCCCATCCCTGGTTGGGGTAGGAGCGGGAGGCAATCAATTGATTTGTCTCTCTCACCATGGATGTTTCTCTCCCTCCCCACCCCCATCCCGCCACCCCCTCCACTCTCTCAAAAATAATCTACAGGAAAAATATCCTCAGGTGAGGATTAATAACACCAAAAAGGAAAAAAACTAAAAAAGGATGCTGAGCCACATGATTCCTTGAGATGCAGGGTTCACACATCCCCACTCCCCACCTGAGATGGAATGTCAAGAGGGTAGCGCATGACCAAGAGCCACCGAGTGGTTGGAGTGGATGAGGATGGAGGAAAGGTCACAGGAAATTGATTGGGATAGTAGTGTCAGATGACAGGGAATTAATGAGGAAATGGATTAGGGAAGAACTGTGAAGTGTAACAAGAAGAGTATGAAAATTGTAGTCGTTTTTCTCAGATGTCAGGTTTGCCCTTTACAACTTCCCCTTTGGGACCTCTGGGTTGGATTACACTTCATGCAGCACACATGTTACTGCGGGAGAGAGTCAGCCCCGGGAACTCCTAGAGCAGATGAGAGAAGTGAGAAGGGGAGCGGGGAGAACCCCTCAGCATCACAGCTGTGGCACTGAGCCAGCTCTGGGGAACACGGGTGTTGGAGTAAGTTGGCTAGGACCTGTGCAGAGGCTCAGAGTAGGAGGCAAACACAGCATAAGCTGGGAACAGGGAGCAGCTATTCCCAGCTGTGACAGAGAATGTCGACTGGTGGTTCCCAAGAGCAGTGAGCGGTTATGGTAATCTGTGCACAGAGCCCCCCTTACCCCCGGAACTCTGAGGGACCTGGAGAGCTATATGTACACTCTCATCCTTCCAGATGTGTCGACCAGAAGTTCCGGCGCTGCCCACCACTGCCCACTACCAGCGTCATCATTGTGTTTCACAACGAGGCCTGGTCCACGCTGCTGCGAACAGTGTACAGCGTCCTCCACACCAGCCCTGCCATCCTGCTGAAGGAGATCATACTGGTGGATGATGCCAGCACTGAGGGTGAGGCGAGAGGTGGCCCAGGTTTTTGCTTTTTAGACTCCCTTAGAGCTGCCAAGTCCAACCCAAGTCAGAAATGCTGGGAGTGGGCAGGGCAGAGGGTGTGGATGGGCCTTCCCTCTGTTTCCTACCTCAAAGATTCCACCTCAAAAGCCCTCTGCCGTGGTTGGTGCTCGCCAAACTTCCACCCATACCTTTTGAAGTAACTCCACAAACATAGGCAGAGTATTCTGTGTCTGACACTGAACTAGACAACGGGGAAACCATGACAAATAACAAGTGAGATGGATCTTGCCCTGAAAAGCTAACAAACTTCATGGGTCAGATGGCTCCTTGCACCGCTAACCACAGCAGTGTGGCCTGTAACATACCTCTAATAGATGTAAAAGGATGTGGACTTTATTTATTTTATTTATTTATTTATTTATTTATTTTATTTTATTTATTTTAATATATTTTATTGATTTTGTACAGAGAGGAAGAGAGAGGGATAGAGAGTTAGAAACATCGATGAGAGAGAGTCATCAATCAGCTGCCTCTTGCACACCCCCTACTGGGGATGTGCCCGCAACCAAGGTACATGCCCTTGACCGGAATCAAACCCGGGACCCTTCAGTCCCCAAGCCGACGCTCTATCCATTGAGCCAAACCGGTTTCGGCAAGGATGTGGACTTTCAAGGCCAGCATCCAGAAATTCAAACCCACTTGTGCCTCTTCCTAACTGTGTGACCTTAGGCAAGATACTTAACCTCTCTGAACCTCAGTTTTCTCTGCTAAAAATGAAGACATGGCTCCCTCACAGGGTGGGTGAGGGATCAGAGATCGGTGATAAATGAGATTATTCAGATGACAGAGTAAGGCGCTCCATTGATTTCAGTGTAGTCTTTGTATGGGAACAATGCACTCTGGGAGTATATAGTCAGGAGACGTTATTTCTGCGTGGCAATGGCTGAGGCAGTCCACAGTGGAGGCCAGATTGGAGCCTTAAAGCATGAGTGTCTAGGGAAAGAAGAGGCACTGAAGGGCATTCCCAGAAGAGAAAATGGCATACACACAGTCCTAGAGGCATAGGTGTATTTGTGAGAAACTGAGAGGTCTGATGTGGCTGAAACTTAGGTTTGTTTTAGGAATGACACTAAAACGATGTTGAATTGAAATTTGTGCCATGATACAAGAATTTAGAGAAAAAAAATTTGGAGTCATTGAAGGTGTTTAAGGTAGACAGTGACCTTGTCTCACAAGGATGGCAGTTTAGGGAGGGGTAATTGTCAGAAAGAGAAGCAGAGGACCCCAAGTCAGGAGAAGAAATTCTTATAACCACCTGAGAGTTGATGATAGGGCCAGACCTAGGAAAGGGGCTGAGGAACTGATATTATACAACATTAGGTTGGGAGTCTCCAGGAGCTAAGCCCTCCTCTGGATGGCACATGGAGTCTAAGGCTCTCAGATTGGCCTCCTGTGCCCATGCTCCTAAATCGAGTGCAGAAACGGACACCACACTTCCCAGAATACCCTGGGGCCACTCCGTATAGCTGTGGCTCCACCTGACCTCCCCAGCCTCCTGCCTGCCTTCTGGATGAGAGGTGATGCCAAAACGTGGAATAAGGCTGGGAAGGCAGAGGGAGGAGAAGCTGAAGTGAGTGCTGGTAAGTCCATTTTTTTGGAGAGCTCACATTTCCCCAGGGAGGACAGACACCTAGCAGCATTTACAAAGCAAAGGCAGCCCTAGCCTGTTTGGCTCAGTGGATAGAGTATTGGCCTGTGGACTGAAGGGTCCCGGGTTTGATTCCAGTCAAGGGCTCATGCGTGAGTGGCAGGCTTGATCACCAGTAAGGGATGTGCAGGAGGCAGCCAATCAGTGATTCTCTCTCATCACTGATATTTCTATCTCTCTTTCTCTTTCTCTTCCTCTCTGAAATATATATGCAAATAAAAAAGTATCAGGGATGCAGTGAGAGAGTCTGGTGGGCAAGAAGCATCAGATTAGGCTTCTGGAAAGGGAGGGGCAAAGAGTTTGGCAGAAATGGGAGAGGCCCCTTAGTAGCCATGGAATGACTGTATGGAATGGGGAGCAAGTGTGTCAATCCAGCTGCCCTTCCTCTTAAACTGGGCTCTCTGATAACTCTTCTCCCCCAGGCCTATGCTAGCCAGGCCTCAGATGCTTCTTCCCTTGGATCACAGAGAGAGTGGAAGTTCTAAACTGGAATTGTCACCCAGACTTTTTTTTAGTTCATAAGGTCCAAGTGCCCAGTTGGGCAACTCTTCTGACCACATTAGAAAAGTGACAATGCCAGGCTGGCACAGGCAGCATCTAAAGGGCACAGCAGCCTGTGCCTAGTAGGTTGGACTTTACAATGGCCACGATAGCCCCTCCAAAGTGCCTGCCCCTAGCGGGCCTTCTCTCTGGCTGTCTCCTGGACTCTCTCTTAGGGCCAGTGCCAGCACCTCAGAATAATCTGCTTGAAAATCCTAAACCTGTCATTCTTAGCTTTCTGGATCCTGGCTCCTTTGAGCGTTTGTAAAAAGTTCTACTCACTCCTTAGAATTGTGCAGAATTGCTACAACACTGTGCACACACCCACAGTTCTGAATGGAATTCCAGGAAGTTTGTGGACCCTAGGAAAATAACCCCACCGTGAGGGCTTTCGGACCCTTGAGATGCTCTCAGAAATGTTCAGCTGAGTCGAGAAAGGACAAAACTCGGATCCATGGTCAGAAGTCTCTGCTGCCCACAGCAGGATAAAATTTTCCACACGTTTGATCATTTAATCAGATTAACTGGCTCTCATTACACACACACACAGAAGAGCTGTGTCTGCTGAAATACAATGTCCATGCTCTCTTGTCCTCCTATCCAGGTACTTGGCAGTGCTCTGCTACCACAAGTACACAAGATGTGTGATGCTGGGGTGGGGGAAGGGGCCCAGTGGCAGGCTGGGGAACTTCTAACCTACCTCAGAGTCTGAACCCTGAGCACAGATTTCACTCTTGTATGGCCAGGTCAGATGCCAGATGTACTCCTGGCCTGGCACACTCTACAGGCTTTGAAAACTGGCCCCTCGGGCTCATCAGTCTCTTGTGCCCACACAAGTCATTCCCCTGTCCAAGCCCTGCCTTGTCCTGGGGAAGACTGAGCCTCAGCCCCTTCTGTGGGGATTTGCTAGATGGATGGGAGGAAATCAGACACATAGCCAGGAGCTGGAGAGTTGGGAAATGAACCGTCCCTCAGTGAGTAAGTTCCTTGTGGAGAGGGTAGGGGCACCGAGGTTAGGTTGGCCAGGAAGGGGTGCCGTAGGAAGGGAAGGCAGAGGGAACAGCAGGTGGAGGAAAGGAAAGAAAGGGCAGCCTTGAAGTCTGGAAATGTACTGAGTGAAACTCAGGGGAGGAGACACGTGGGGAGCACTTTGGGTTAGCTGAGTATTTTATTGTTTGTATAGACTGGATTTGTTTGTTAATCCATTCCTCTATCCTTGGACATTGGGGTTATTCATTCATTCATCTCTCCATGGACAATGGTTATTTCACAATAACCATTTGGCTGTTGTGTATAATGCTGCCATCAACATCAGCATACCAATATTTGTTTGAATCCCTGCTTTCACTTCTTTTGGATATATATCCAGAAGTGGAATTGCTGGACCATGTGGTAATTCTATTATTTAATTTTTTGAGGAGCCACCATACTGTTTGGATTTGGATTTTTTTCATGTTGTTTTTTAAAGTCCTCACCTGAGGATATGTTTTTCTTTATTTTAAAGAGAGAGAAACACAGATTGGTTGCCTCCTATATGTACACCCTTTGGGGATCAACCCCGCAACCTTTTGGTGTACAAAGGACATTTCAAGCAACTGATCCACCCAGCCAGGACTGGATTTTGTTTTTAAGTGCAATTTTAAACCACTGTGCTGACATAATCTGATTTAGTTTTGTAAGATAACTAATGTCCCCTGTGGTTGCTATGTCAAGAATGGTATAGAACTGAGGCCAGGAAACCAGTTAAGATATTATTGCTGTTGCTTGTGGTTCAGTGGTTGAGCATTGACCTATGAACCAAGAGGTCACGGTTCAATTCCCAGTCAGGGCTCATGCCCAGGTTGTGGGCTCCATTCCCTAGTGGGGGGCATGCAAAAGGCAGCCAATCAATGATTATCTCTCATTATTGATGTTTCTATCTCTCTCCCTTCTCCTTCCCTCTTTGAAATCAATAAAAACATATATATATTTTAAAAAGACATTGTTCCTGAGGTGACAGTGAGGACCAAGAGAAAGAACTGGCTGTATTTGCTGATGGAGTCACTGTCAAGGATGAGGAAAGGGTAGAATCCAGCATGGCTCCTAGGTTAGAGCAGCCAGAGGGATACAGGTACCGTATACTGACTTGGGGGAGCCTGGGGTGCAGCTTGGGAGGAAATCTGGAGTTCCATTTTGGGAGTGTTTGGTTTGTGGTTCTGTTACACATCCATGTGAAGGTGGCAAGGCCAGGAAAGAAGACTTAGGAGCCATCTTCATATGGATGAGATTGATTAGGCATGTGTGATGGAGGTCACAGGAGTCACAGACTCTGTCATGAGAAATGAAGCTGGGTTGGGGTGGTGGGGTATTAAACTTACATTAGGAGGCTATTGTCTAGAGGACATAAGAAAGTATGGATAGGCTTGTGTGTGTCTCCAAGCTCTGGAGCATATGTCCAGTGGGTCCAGGGGTGTGACCGGAAGACTGTGAGGGGTTGTCTCGCTCCCCTAGAAGGGCCTGCACTCATGCTCAGAATCCGCAGGTCCAGGCCAGCCCCCTGAGCCGGGAGGAAGGTATGGGAGGAAGGCTCTGCAGAGCTCAGGTCCCCGGAGGTTCACAGCTCAGTGCTCTGCAGTTTCTGACCACAAAACCCACTTCCTATGATGTTCTGTCCCCGCGTTATCTCCATCACCATGAATTTCCTGTGAGAAGGCGAGGCTCTTGGTTGAGGTTCCTCCCTCCTTCCTGTTAGAACCAGCACTTGGGGCTGTAGTTGGATTATGAGTCTGGGAGATCCTTGAAGGGAGGACCCAGAGCAGGCCCTTCCCTGACCAGGGTAGTGTCTGGCACCTAGGAAGTGAACTAGCAGATGTTTACTAAGTGAATGCTGGGCCAAAGCTGCCAAATTTTGACTCATAAACATTGGGGACATTAGTCCCTATTTCATAGTGTTTTAATCTTCATAGAGAATATCAAATAAGAAAATCAACATAAAAGTACCTAGGTCAGCCCGGCTGGTGTTGCTCAGTGGTTGTAACAGGATGTCAGGGTTTGATTCCCAGTCAGGAAACAGGCTGGGTTGCAGGCTCATTCCCCAGTATGGGGTGTGCACCGGTCAATGATTCTCTCTCATTATTGATGTTTCTATCTCTGCCTTCCTCTCTGAAATCAATTTTTTTTAAAAAGTACATTGTAGGTGCAAGTATTTGGACTGTGTGTGTGTGTGTGTGTGTGTGTGTGTGTGTGTAAGAGAGAGAAACAGACAGACGAGGGGAACACCCCACCCCAAATTGATCTCAGGTGCCACAGTTTGTATAGAACTGCGTTAGAGCCAGGTCTGAGCCCTGGGCTGATCCCACAGCATGAAAGAGAAAGAACACAATTATCGCTTACACCTTCCCGTCTACTTCCACTTCTGAAACTCCATTGCACAGTCAGGAACAGAACAAGAGCATGGGAAACCAAAATCACAGTTAATAAAACATAAGTAAGCTTTGGAATATGTTTCAAGATGGCTTGCTTCGGAATAGACCTATCTTTAATGCTTTGAGGATTCCAGACTGAATAACACGATTATGAAGTAAGCCTCCGCTCAGAAAAAAAACACACCCCAAAAAACCACGAAAGATCTGAGCAGAGATACCCCTCCCTTCAAATAGCTTTCCTCATCTTCAAGCTGAGGATGGTTGCCCCCCTCCCCCCACCCCCCTTCCCACCTCAGGCTCTCAGCCCTGAACTTCCTCTGACAGGTTACTAATGGTCCTAGGCGGCTGGGCTCACCACTGTGCCTGACCAATGGCAGGCACTTGATGCACGTGTTTAATTTAATTAAAAAGAGGCTCTTCATCTTTTCCTTTCTTAGGAAAGTCCACATGCAGAGCAGGTAAAAAAGGAGGTTAGAGTAAGACTTCTTGCTGCTGGTCCAGCAAGTAAGAAATCAACATTTGTATGTTCTACCTGGCACACTTATTCTGAGGAGCCTGGAAGACAGGGAAGCAGACACTGAAAACTCACAATCCCTAGGGGTAGGAAGAAGAGGAGGATGGAATTACGGCTCTGAAAGACGGAAGCTGAAAGGCTGCAGCGACCGATGGGGCGCCTGAAGCCTTTGTCGGAAGTTTAAACTTGATTTAGGCCAAAGAAACAGCCCTGAGATCCTGTCTCCGACATCAGAGAAGGTGCCGAGGTGAACAGGCACAGGACTGACACAGCAGAGCCAGTGCCCTGGCAAGGTGGGCTTGGGTGGCAGGGGGTGCTTGGCCACACACAGGACTTCCTCCTTCCACCCCCTTCCCCACCATCTGCTTCCACGGAATTGCTTAGTGCAGTAGGTGTAGGAGGATTAAAAACTCCGGCCTGCTGGAGAACCAAGAGCGCCAGGGCTTGGTGCCCACGGGGGATTAACAAAGCGGTGAGCTGACTTCAATGACACGGTCCCTTCCAGACTATTTAAAGGAGGAACTGGAACAGTACGTGAAGCAGCTGCAGATCGTGAGGGTGGTGCGGCAGGAGAAGCGGAAGGGGTTGATCACGGCCCGACTGCTGGGAGCCAGCGTGGCACAGGCAGAGGTGCTCACCTTCCTGGATTCCCACTGTGAGTAAGAGTGCTGGCCTGGCACCCGGGAGGCCTGGGTATAGTCTGGTCCATCCCCCCCAACCCCCTCCCTGGCAGATTGAGGAGCTGTGACCACAGCATCAACAGGCCCCTTTCTGCTCTGTTCTAGGAGTGAAGGGGGCTTAGGACTCTCTCCAGCTTCTTCTAGCCACTTCTCACTCCAATCCCAAGGGTGTTTTGTCAAGAGGCACACACAACCCTAAAACAATCGGTCACCGCACAATTGCTGGGCATATATTCTGGAGCCCCAGGCATTCCTCTCTCCCAGGATCTGTACCTTGTTCTGAACTCAACCCCTCAGAGAGGCCTCCTGTTAGCACTGGGAACTGATTTGTGTGGAGCTTTACTGTAAGAGCAACCTGGAGCCAGGAAAGCCTCCCTCTCACCCCAAACCGAAACACCTCCCACCATTCTCCGGAAAAAATAACTTCCCTAAAAGCAGTGATGTATATTGGGGAAGGCCTAGAAAGCCAGAAGACCCGGGTCTGCATTCTAGCAAAGCCTCAGGTTTCTCATTTGAAAGATGGAAAGGGGATACCAGCCTTACTCACCAACAGAATTATTATTCTGAGGGCCAAAGAAAGTAATATATATAGTTCACTGAAAATCTCAAAGGGCTGGACAAATGAAAGAGATTGTTATTCACAACTGGAGCTGAAGCTTGATATGCAGATATTCCCAGGAGAGGGGACACCTGCTTCTGAAACCCACACTGGGGAGGGAAGGCTGATTCAGTGGGGAAGCTGGGCATCTGAAGATACCCATCCACGGCCTTTCCTGTGCTTTTGGATCAGTTGAGTCCACGTTAGTCCCCTGAGACCTCCAATCTCCCCTCCAGCTGCCTGCATCTTTAGGTAGAGGAGGAAGTTCTCAGATCTCTCTATGCCGAACAGCTGTGAGCCAGCTTGCCTGTGTTTCTCAGCTTATAGCTAGAAAGTGGGTGGAGAATCCTCTTGTCCTCCTGGGTCTCCCCGCTGGCCTGGGGCATGGGCTCAGCTGCGATCAGGACCCTGACGGCTGTCTCCTGGTCTGGGCTTGCAGGCGAGTGCTTCCATGGCTGGCTGGAGCCCCTCCTGGCTCGCATCACCGAGGATGAAACAGCAGTGGTGAGCCCGGACATCGTCACTATTGACCTTAACACTTTTGAGTTCTCCAAGCCCGTTCGGAAGGGCAGAGTCCATAGCCGTGGCAACTTTGACTGGAGCCTGACCTTCGGCTGGGAGACTCTCCCTCTACATGAAAAGCAGAGGCGCAAGGATGAGACTTACCCAATCAAGTAAGGACCACAGCCTGGTGAGCCCCCAACCTGGCCTACATGATACCAGACTCACCCAGTCCTAGGGACCTGGGCCATCTCAGGTCAACATGTATTCGTGCTCTATCAGGCACCTGACATATTTTATTTCATTCTCATCCCCTAGGATTAGCCTGTCTAATAGGTGAGAACATTGAGGTATAAACAATTGGCCTCAGATTACACAGCTAACAAAAGGTGGAACAGGGATACCCATCCTGGCCTGTCTGATCCAGGCCTATGCTCCAGGCTATGGCACTAGACTGTCCTTATCTGCCACTTACTGTGTGCCTGGCCCTGGACTAAGGGTTCTGCACACTTTGTGTCATCTATTCCTCCCTATTGTAGGAGATCATGACTGGTGTTTGCAGACGTGCTGAGAGTTAGTGGGTAGTGGCCATTGTTGAATAGCCATTGTACTAAGAGTGAATGGCATGTGCTCCCAGGTCCTTCTCTTTGAAAAGACTGAAAACATAGTAAAAGAATAGTTCAAGTGTCCTGCAGTTTGCAGTTTGTTGCAGTTGCCCTGAACTTTTTTGATAAAGAGCCAAATAGTAAATATTTCAGGTTTGTCAGCTACATATAGTCTGTTGCATAATATTCCTTGTTTGTGTTTCTTTTAAACAATCCTCTAAAAATGTAAAATCCATTCTTATATAAACCCAGTGTCTTATATAAAGCCAGGCTAGATTTGGCCCCCAGACCATAGTTTGCCAGCTATAGGATGGATGCATGAAAGTTTACCCATTACCTCCCCTTCATACATCTGCCCTGTCCTTTCCTCTCCAATTGCCTTTTGGTGTTAGAGACCACAGCTCATTTTAACACTCACCCAAGGATATATTTTTATTGACTTTTAGAGAGGCAGGGAGAGACAGAAAGAGAAACATCGATTAGTTGCATCCTGTGCATGCCCTGACCAAGGATCAAACCCACAGCCTAGGTATGTGCCCTGACTGGGAATCGAACCCGAAACCTTTTGGAGTAGGGTCGATGCTCCAACCGACTGAGCCACCCAACCAGGGCAACCACAAGTTTATTTTATCAGATGTTTCAGCCAAACTGAGTTGGGGAGTGACTTTTGGAGTATCCTGTGATTATCTGCCATTGTTTTTCCATACTGGCCAGGAAATTCCAGGGTATATTTCTGGGATGGAGAGAGAGAAGCAGGGGTAGGAGATACAATGAGCAGAGATAAGAGGGAAGGCTTGAAAGGAGCGTGTTGGAGTTCCTCCCCCTCCACATGCCCAAATCCTAAGAAATGCTGCCCAGAATTTCAGTGGAGAGGGCTCAGATGGGGGCCACAAGAAGTAATCCCCTGGAACCTGAACAGCCAGCTTCTCTGTCTCCGTTAGAAGGAGAAGCAGCAACAGAGAGAAGAGAGGGGAAAAGAGAAGGCAAGAGGGAGAAAAGAAATGAGAACTCCCTATTGACTGTCTGTCTGCTTCATAGATGCCTTTTGTTTACTGTGTACAGCTACAACAAGCTGGGGCCAGGCACACAGTGACACGGTCAGGGACAAGGCACCTGGCCACCACCCATCACTGATGGCCCTGGCTCCAGCTGGAAGATAAAACTCCAGTGTCTGAGGAATGAAATTGCTGCCTGGTGGCATGCATGGCTTGCCCTCAGCACTATGCATACTTCCCACCAGGAGGCTTGCAGGCAGAATCTTTTACTCTGAAAGCTAACAGGAGGCTGAAAGGAGAGTCAGAGGATCCTAAGAAATGGGCCAGGAAACCCAGGCAGTTGCCTGTAGGTTGTGGGTCTGCAGTGAGTTTCCCTGTGTAGGGTTTATCCTCAGAGACCTCTCAAAGCAAAGGGACTGGCCCAAGGCAGGAAGACCCTCAAGAAGAAATAGGTTAAGCCCTGGTCAGGTAGCTCAGTTGGTTAGAGGAGTGGTCGGCAAACCGAGGCTCTTGAGCCACATGCGGCTCTTTGGCCCCTTGAGTGTGGCTCTTCCACACAATACCACTTGTGGGTGCCACGTACAGTGCGATTGAAACTTCCTGGCCCATGTGCAGAAGTCGGTTTTCTGCCTGGGCGAGTGTATTTTGAAGAAGTGGCGTTAGAACACCCAGGGGGCCAAAGAGCCAGTTTGCCGACCACTGGTTAGAACTTTGTCCCGATTGAGAGTCACCAAGATTGCAGGTTTGATCCCCAGTGAACGAGAAGGGAAGGAAAGGAAAGGAAAGGGAAAGGGAAAGGGAAAGGGAAAGGGAAAGGGAAAGAGGGAGGGAGGGAAGGAGGGGAAGAAGTCGGTTAGGTCCAACGTGCTAATCTGGAGTCCCAGACTCTCTGAACCTTTCTGGGCCTTACTTGGGCTGGCTTAGAACTCCTAGGTCAGAACCGGTGACAAAAAGCCTGCATGAGCATGAGGGTTTCCCTATTAAAATTTCTTCCAGAAAGCAGCTGCAGGAGCCAACTTCAGGGCAAAAAGAGCAGCCACAAGGTTAACTCCAAGGTCAGGCTCATGTGTAGTCAGTCACCTTAATAGATCAGTCCAATCAACACTGATTGAGCCCCTGCTGTGTGCGAAGCACCTTGATTGGCTCTGGGCTACGTGAAGAAGCAACAGAAGGGGGCAGCAAAGCCACGTCCAAGAGAGCCTGGCCAGGCACAGCTACCAGCTCCTACTGATTGAGTATCTGATAGTCAACCCTAGTCGCCCCTAGGCCCTGCCCCCCCATACAACCCTTAACCCAGCTCCCCTTCTGAGCCACTCGGTATCTATATTCTAGGAATGAGATGTTTTTTGTTAATTTGTCTTCATGTGGGTCTTTGCCTCCCTGCTTTTGTCTGAAAGCCAGAATGTTTTTGTAACCTCCAAATGCTCTCTTCAATGTACGTTGAGCTTGATGTCATCTCATTTCCTATTCTGTTTCCAGGAGTTTCCTCTGTCCAGAGCAGCTGGCAGATTTTCCCCAAAGCTAGCTGCTCCTGCAGTGAAGTACCAGGGCTGGGCTCCTACTAACACTATGGCTTTCTAGTCCCTCAAGGGCCAGGGACTCTGAAAGACAATGGGGTCAGTTCAACTCATAATATGCATTCATTCATGGTTTGAATCCTATTTCCAAAAAAACAATTTCACATTGCTTCTAATAGCCAAGTATCTACCATCTCCAGGAATTTAGCTGCCAAAAAGTAAACAAACAATGGTAGCTTTACCCTCTGCAACTAGACTGAGCCTCTCAGAGACTAAAATCTATCTTTCTTAACTAACATGTAGCACAGGTCCTGGTGGCTGGTATTTAATACATCCTTGGTTGAATAAATGAATGGGTGCCTTTTAGAAGAGAGTAATGATCATTACATCTCTCCTTGATCTAATTCCTAGGAGGTAAAGAGACATAATAAAAGGTCAATAAACATTTGCTAAATGAACTACTTAGTGGAAGAAGGGCTGTATATGCCAGGAAAGGGGGTGGGAATAGGGTAGGAAGCATTAGCGGTGAGTCCCATCTTTCCACTCCTCTCACTTCCTCCCCAGAAGATGCACATGCTTCTCCCTCTGTCTCTCCAGATCCCCGACGTTTGCTGGTGGCCTGTTCTCCATCTCCAAGGCCTACTTCGAGCACATCGGTACCTATGATAATCAGATGGAGATCTGGGGAGGGGAGAACGTGGAAATGTCCTTCCGGGTGAGAGTGAAGAGGGCTTCGAGGGGGGAACCACAACATCCCAGGGGACAGACAGCCTGAGAACCTGTCTCTTAGGCAGCAGAAATATAACACCTGGAACTGAACTTAAAAGGTGGCTGTTTCCTGGCATGACTCTGCTTTCCTCCGTTCCCCTCCCTGCCTCTGGCAATAGGGCTTTGGGAATCAGATTAGACAACTTGAAACAAATTACTGAGGAGAACTCCTCAGAAAGAAGGGAGAACAGTGGTAATAGGAATTGGACATCTACAACTCTTTCATGGTGTCTGTATAAAAGGATTAGATCCTGGTTATGGTAGAGGGCCTTGGAACAGGTTAGTAAGCAGTCACTATCTTTTTTCTAGAAAAATCAGGTTCCCCTTTCCAGGTCAGAGAACATGCGCCCTGGTGGTCTTGGAGTTTCGCTACCATATGTTCAGAAAGCTCTTCATACTGTAAGAGAAGATGGTGCCCAAATTTTGGTGGACCCCAAAACTCTGAGGGTTCCAGGAATAAAGCAAGTCAGGATTAGGTTAGGAACAAAGGATTGCCTCTTCGTGAAATCTACACAAATCCCCATGCCAGTGGATAGGTAATTAGTAATGAGCTCATTTGTGAAGTCACCTCTCACAGTGCCTGGCACATATTAAGCACATCTTTTTTAAAAATATATATTTTATTGATTTTTTACAGAGAGGAAGGGAGAGGGATAGAGAGTTAGAAACATTGATGAGAGAGAAACAACAATCAGCTGCCTCCTGCACAGCCCCTACTGGGGATGTGCCGGCAATCAAGGTACGTGCCCTTGACTGGAATCAAACCTGGGACCCTTGTGTCTGCAGGCCAACGCTGTATCCACTGAGCCAAACTAGTTTCGGCTAAGCACATCTTTAATACCTGCTGTTATTATGTATTTGTTTCTGCTATACCAAAATGAAGAACATATCTCCTAATTTAAAACCTAAAGAGAAGATACATGTGGGAAGGCTTAAGCAGAAGGGTCACCAGCTTATTCCCCATAACTCCCAGAGTTCTGATTCTAGGTTCATCCATGAGCCTCTGACCTGTCTTCAGTCTCTCTCCTAGGGAACTAGTGTGCTACAGGTCCGGGTGACTACCACAGGCCACCTGGCAGTTGACTATCCTTGCACTGATGCTCTGATTGGGTCACAAGTCTATCTTGATATGAGGAAGTTTGAGTTTCCACTAATACCTGTGTGAGCTGATAAAATCACATTTTCAACTCAAAAAGCCAAAGTTAGCCAAATTGTCTTTTCTCTAAAATGGGCCCTGAGGGCCATTCAGACATGCAAATGTGGTTAAATCAGAGCGAACCAATATCAGAGAGCTAGGGATTGTGTGTGTGTACTCATGGCCTCAGAAGAAGCCTGGTCATTGTCCTTGTTTCCAGGAGAGAAAGTGGCATTGCCTTGAGTTCTGGGACCTGGGTTCTGGTGCTCTGGGAATGAAACAGAGCTGCTTGGGGGGAGACGGTCCCACCCAGCTCCTAAAGGCCCCATTTTGTGTCCCCTTACGGCAGGTGTGGCAGTGTGGGGGCCAGCTGGAGATCATCCCCTGCTCTGTGGTAGGCCACGTGTTCCGTACCAAAAGCCCCCACACCTTTCCCAAGGGCACCAATGTCATTACTCGCAACCAAGTGCGCCTGGCTGAAGTCTGGATGGATAGCTACAAGGAGATTTTCTACCGGAGAAGTATGGAGGCAGCAAAGATGGCCCGAGAGGTGAGATGAAATGGTCCTTAGGGGGTGTCTAGATGAAGAAAAGTACAGAATCCCAGACCCTGACAAAAGCTTAATGGTAGAGGCCCATCCATTTCTACCACCTTAGACCCTGTGAGCTTACCCAGGCAAGCTAGAGAATGAGGGGAGGAGTCTTTGTTATCCCTGCCTACAGAGCCCCAGTATCTTTTAGGAGGGCGGAGCAACGAGAGTTGGAGAAAGAACCTCTTCCAGGAGGACTGGCTTTGCTCTGAGAGGCTCAGAATGGGGCTGGGGGGAAACTAACTGGGGAGTGACAGGAGATGAGGGAGTAAGGGGGATATGAGTGGAGTTCCCAAAGCCAATATGGGGTTTGGGATTGGATGTGAGGCTGGGGCAGTAGCTCCAACAGGTCCTGAGCAAGAGTGAGCCTGAGACCCATTCTGGGAAGAAATGACCCCAAGAACTCTGGACTACTTCAAGCCAGGCAAGAAGGCCAAGGCTGGTCGTACTGACTCTTAGGGGGTTGTCTTTTTGACAGAAATCCTTTGGTGACATTTCCGAACGACTGCAGCTGAGGGAACAACTACACTGTCGTAACTTCTCCTGGTACCTGCACAACATCTACCCAGAGCTGTTCATTCCTGACCTGAAGCCCACCTTCTATGGAGCTGTGAGTCCTCAAAACCAGCTTGCCTGCCCATCACCACAGAACCCCCTAGAGAAGTTCAAGACCACTTTCCCCACAGACAGATGACAAACGAGTGCTTAATTTTATTCTCCACACTTCTTCATCCAGAAGGAGAACTTTGGAGCTTCTAGAGAGAGCTAAAATCCTTATGAGGAAAACAGCCTATAAGCAGTGGCTCGCTCTCAAATGCTCACCTGCATCAGAATCACCAGGAAGGAGTGTTAGTACACAGACTGCTGATTCAGTAGAATTGGGGTGGAGCCTGAAAATATGCATTTCTAACAAGTTCGTGGGTGATGCTGCTGATCTGGGGAATCACACTTTGAGAGCCATTGCTCGTGAGAAAATTCCCATGTGCTGAGGGCTTCTCCCACAGACCTAGCAGCCCAGGAGGATGACCAGCCTGCTCTGGCCCAGCCCCTGGGCTGTGCACCTGACTTTGCTATTAACTTCAGGCATCTGGGTTAATGAGCAGAGGAGAAATCCAGCCATGAAAACTTATTCCAATTGGGCCTGACACCACAAACTAAAAATCTCCTGACTATGCTGGTTTCCCTCTCTGCTCCCCATTCTGCAGATAAAGAACCTCGGTATCAACCAATGCCTGGATGTGGGTGAGAAGAACCATGGAGAGAAGCCTCTCATCATGTATGCCTGCCACGGTCTTGGTGGCAACCAGGTATATAGCCCAACCCTGCTGGGGGAGCCCCAAGAGAAGCCTGGGTCTGAGCATCTCCTCTCGTAAGGGGTCCCCTTCCTCCACTCAAAATAGTCCTTTCTTTTTTTTTTAATAGATTTCTTTTTTTAAAAAAATATATTTTATTGATTTTGTACAGAGAGGAAGGGAGAGAGACAGAGAGTTAGAAACATCGATGAGAGAGAGTCATCGATCAGCTGCCTCTTGCACACCCCCTGCAACCAAGGCACATGCCCTCGACTGGAATCGAACCCGGGACCCTTCAGTCCCCAAGCCGACGCTCTATCCATTGAGCCAAACCGGTTTCGAAAAATAGTCCTTTCTGAATGACGAGGATGGGGGATGTCCAGAGAGAGGAGGAGATACCATCCCTGCCCTCAGAAAACTCCCAGTCTGAGGAAGAAAGCATGACAGCGACAGACAAGGTCTGAAGTCTGAATTAGGGACATACAGAGAGCACTGGGCATCAGAGCTGGGTGCTAGAAAGGGATGCGGGAGGGGAGGATTGTTCATCAGAGAAGGCTTGCTGGAGGATGCCAGCTGCTAAGTGATGTTTTAGGGTAAGTGTGGGAAATTTTTTAGCACTTTCCCCCTCCTGCCATCTTAGTCACCTAGCATCCTGAAAATTTACTCCATGCCCTACAACGGCCCAGCTCTTTCCTGGCCCAAGTTCTTCAATCTACCCTGAATGCCTAGCATTTGGTAAGAAAGAAGTACTTGAACCATAATTGAAGCAAGGGAAGGAGTGGCTTGGGACACTAAACAGACTGCCTATCTGAAGATAGTCTTTCTAAAACAGTTCCCTGTACCACTGGCCTGCATGATGATTGTAGGTGGTACATTGGTGAACCTTTTTATTGTACTAGTAATCTATTAACAAAAGAAGAACTAGAATATCAGACACAAATGACTTCACAGATAATGCTTAAAATGAAATGAGATTAATATTTTAATTAAATAAAATATATTAATTAACTATTATTCCAGTATAACACAGATATGGTTAAAAATTCCTGAAGGTGACACTCGAATTACTAAAGTCTTTTTTAAAAATATATATATTTTATTGATTTTTTTTACAGAGAGGAAGGGAGAGAGAGAGAGAGAGAGAGAGGAAGCTAGAAACATCGATCAGCTGCCTCCTGCCCATCCCCCACCAGGGACTTGCCCACAACCAAGGCACAAACCTGGGACCTTTCAGTCCACAGGCCAGCGCTTTATCTACTGAGCCAAACCGGTTTCGGCGAATTACTAAAGTCTAGTTGCTCACTCACTTGCCTCCCCAGGAGGCCATCTGTGGCTGGCATCTTAGGGCAGATGGCTTTGGGAGGTGGTGGGTAAGCTCTCTGCCTGTCTCTCAGACTCCTCTCGTCTTGGCTTACAGTACTTTGAGTACACAACCCAGAGGGACCTTCGCCACAACATCGCAAAGCAGCTGTGTCTACACGCCAGTGCTGGCACTTTGGGCCTTAGGAGTTGTCACTTTATTGGCAAAAACAGCCAAGTCCCCAAGGACGAAGAATGGGAATTGACCCAGGTAAGTCGGCCCAGAAAGCTCAGTATCCAAGAACCTGAGGCTGCCCCCCCCCCCCACTCCTTATTTTCTGCATCTACTCCTGAGACACCATGGAGTAGATCAGGATTATGTAGAAAGTGTGGAGGATGAGGGGTTGCCCACAGGCAGAATTCCCAGGACTTAATGTTTGGTGATGGCTGGTTCTGGTGATGGCTGATAGATAGGGCCAGGTGCGTCAATGGCTCAAGTATTTTTTTACTGAACCTAAGTAGATGAAAGTGAAGAGTCTCTCGTGGTTCTTGCCTGCCCTCCATCTGTCAAAACTATGCACTCACATACATTGGTTTAATATTTCAGAGGTTCTTCCCAAGAAGCTCAGCAATTTTGTGGCTGGCCCAAGATTCACTGCTAGTAAATGGCAGGCCTGAGATTCACACCCAAATAAGTCTGACTTAAAAGCACAGGCTCTTTCCATTATACCACACTGCCCCAGGGTTTTTAATGTAACTTCTATAGTACTGAGCACAAACTAGCTCACTCTGTTCCACCCCAATCCCTAGTCCCTGGCTTAGGGAAAGAGGAGGCTAACCTTGGGGCTACAGGGAAGAGAGGAGTCTAAATATGATCCAAGGCAGAAAGTGGAGGTAGGCAGCAGCGGCCCAGGCCATCTGGAGGAGGCAGGTCCTAAAGCCTTTTTCAGTTAGCGCATGGTCTTTCCTCTATTCCAGCCATTCAGGCTAAAGCTTGAGGCGGGTAATTGACACAAGTGGAAACTCAGGAATGCATCCTATAGAGTGTCTGGCATATTGCCAGGCCTGTAACAGTGCTATTTATTGCCCCCTAGGAGCACTGTTACAGGAATGAGGCCCAGGTTGACCCTTTGCAATGTTGTCTTTTAGGATCAACTCATCAGGAACTCGGGATCTGGTACCTGCCTGACGTCCAAGGACAAAAAGCCAGCCATGGACTCCTGCAATCCCAATGACCCCCACCAGCACTGGCTCTTCGTCTAGACCCCGTATCATCCCCTGTGGGAGTTCCCACAAGTGTCTCAGGAAACATTATTTTGGGGAACCTGATGTCTGGGAACCTGATCATCAGCTTCTCTATCAGCCTTAAAGATGGAGTTTAAACCTAATTTTGGATGTCAAGGCAGGACCTTTCTACTCCTTGCAACAACATTGGGCCCATTTTCTTTTCTCCAGATTGACGGAAGAGGCTGTAAGAACACGTGGTACTTGACCCAGAGCTTTCCTTCTGTCTGAGAAACAGAGACTTCCAAAGCAGAGAAAGCTCCTGGGATGGGGCCCAAGGCAGCAATGCCGAATTCAAGAAAAGTACCTCTGCAACCATGTCGTGACTGCCAGATCATCTAGAGCTGGGCATACAGAATCTAGGGACATAATATATTCTAGCAGAGATCCGTCTGTTAGAGGTCTAAGAGCAACTCCCTTGCTAATAGTACACCAAGTTTATAGAGCCATTTACGGTTTACAGAAAACACCCTGATAGGAATCCTTTACTTTACTTCATCTGCACAATGACTCTGTAAGAAAGACAGGACAGGGACTGGCATACCCATTTTACAGATAAGAAAGCTGAGTCAGGGAAGGGTAAAGGAGGTTGTCTGTCGTCCCACAGCTAGTGGATGGTGGGAGCCAAAACTGAGGCTTGAACTTGGATACTGAACAAGGGTGCCTTCCACTACACCACAAAAACACTAAACTAGCCACTGCCATTCCCATCCCCTCTCCTCTGCATTCTAATAATTTCTGGCTGATTATAAAGCTCAGAACAATGGAGCTAGGTAGCCATGAGGGAAACCATACAGTTCATGGAGCCAGCGACTCTCAGGTTTAAGTCCCAAAGCTCTCTCTCTTTTTTTTTTTTTTTTTTTTTTTTTTTTTTTTTTTTTTTAGTGCTCTATATGTAATCTAACAGAAGGCAAAGTAGCCATGGATGAAATTGAGGATAGACAGGGGCAATGTCCACTAGCCCCTGAACTTCTAAAATTCTGTAAGACAGTTTGAAAACCATCATTTTAGTCCAACCTTATCATTTTCCTATTATGAAACCGAGGGCAAATAAGTGAGGTAATTTGCCCAAGGCCACACAGCAAGGCACTGGCAACCCTGAAGCTAGGACCCAGATAAGGCTAACAAGAGCGGTAGGAAGGCTGAGGAATTAAGGACAGTGTATACTCAAACACGACTGCATGACTGCCCTGGCCTGCGGTACTCACATGAAGCCCTCACGTGGAGCAGACCTGACGTGCATCATCAGCTCTTTTCTAAGAAGTCGGACCCTACACACTTGGACTCATAAGAATTCCTTATGGCTTTCAGTGGCAGGCTGTCATCTTGGGCATCACCATGTGAGGGTGCCAGGCGACCACAGCTGCCTCTGCTTCCCTGAAACTCGGTGCTGCAGGTCTCCTAGGTCCCTGAAGAGCCTTCAGGATGCTTAGAGGAAACATTCTGGGATAGCCCAGCCAAAGGGAGGAGGCAAAGCATAGCCTCTTTCACGACGTAGCCTGGAGTGGGAAAGGACTTTTCTAGAAAGAGAAGAGAGTTGGACATGAGATCCCTGTAGAAATAAAGGTTTTATGGCTTTGGTAAAGGAAGTTTGCATTGGATTCCTCTCCAGCATTGGTTCCTTAGCTGATCCCTTTGAAGAATCTATTGATTTAGGCTGTGAAGAACTACACACATCTGAAATGTCCATTATAGCAACTTGCTCTTATTCCCACACATCCTCTGGCCTACATACTGTGTGTCAAGCATGAGTAGACATAAGGAGTTATAAGATGAGGCTATTTCCCTGTGGAACTCACACTCTAGCTGGAGAAACAGATGCAAGCAAGTCGTGGAGTGTTCAGAGATGTGCTAGGTGAGTTAGAACAACTTCCATTTAGGCCCTGAACTTCAGGGGGTCAGGGAAGGCCTCACAGAGACAGTGACCTTTGACTTTAGACCTCAAAGGATGAGTCCTCAGGTGGGAAGGACTTAATAAACAAAGACCTCATACAAGACATGATCTAGCATGAGAAGAGATACAGAGGGTCAAAGGTACAAGTGGATCTGGGAAAGCAAGAGGACATCAGGGTGAAGGAGCAGTAGATGTAGAAGCTTGAAGATCAGGGCCACATTACAACTTCCATGGGCACTTTTGCCTTCATAAAAAAAGTATTTAAAATGTCTTATAACTGTTTTGATATAAAAATGAATATAACCCAGGCTGATGGTATTCATTTTATTATGATTTTAAAAGAAAAACGGCCCAGCCAGCCTGGCTCAGTGGTTGAGCATTGACTTAAGAAGCAGGAGGTCATGGTTTGATTTTCAGTCAGGGCGCATGCCCAGGTTATGGGCTTGACCCCCATTATGGGGTGTGCAGGAGGCAGCCAATGAGTGACACTCTCTCATCATTGATGTGTCTCTCCTTCTCCCTTCTCTCTGAAATCAATAAAAATATATTTTTTAATTAAATAAAACATTTTTTGAGCCCTTAAAAAAAGTATTGCGGCCTTTAGGTACTGTGCCTGCTATGCCTAATGGGTAGGTTAGCCCTGTAGAACAGGGGGTTGGGGCCCATTTGAAAAGGCTTTGAATGTCATGCTAATAAGTCAGGTGAGCCATAGGGAGCCATGATCCCTAACTCTAAGCCTAGCCCTACCCTAGTTGCTTTAAACATCTAATCATTCATCAGGTCTTATATGCCACTTATCCCAAAATCCCTCATACAGTCTACGTATAACATCACCCAGCAGCTCTCCGCCCAATCTTATGATATATGCTCAACCGACGTGCCCTAAGGTGATTCCTTGTCCCTACCAAAAACAGCATAGCCTCCCCAGGGGCAATCATAAGAGTAACAAGTGAGAGGTGCAGCACAAGAGAGAAAAAACCACATGACATTTATAGAGGAGGCCCAGGTTTGGGGGTGAGTAGAGGACTAGGGAAGGGCAATAGTCAAGAAGAGGGAGAAAGCATTGGCACAGGTGGTAGAAAGCCTCCAGAAACCAGCGTCATTGGCTCTTTTTAGCCAAGGTGGGTCTTGCCCTAACCTGACATCTGCCCTCACCTGACATCTGCCCTCTTCCTTAAAGTCCACCCCTTTAACCACTCTCAGAGCTCACCTAAAACCTTAAAACCTTGTTGCTAGCCCTGTGATACTATCTGCCTCTTACCTTAGCATTGAATGTCTGATCCCCTTTGGGGATTCATTTCCCACTTGAAAAGGAATGGTGCCATTGCCAAGGAGAGCTAAGTGTCCCAGAATTATTATCTACTTATATTTTAATTACAAAGTAATTCTGTACAAAAGTCAAATAATACAGAAAATGTGAGTTTAAAAAGTGAAATTTATCCTCACAATGGTCCTATATCTAGTAATTCATTCTCTAGATATAATAACTTTGTTGCTTGGTAAAAGCCCTTTGAAACTGCTTTTCTGTAAATCTCCAAATGCACATGTACACTTGATTTCTTTACTATATCTACGACATTTTTCATATCATTTTATTTAAGTCTACTTCATTCTTTTTCTTTTTACTTATTTTTCCAAATTATAAGAGAAAGTTTATTAAGATTCCTTATGAAAATTCCATCAAAGCAGATTTGAAAGAGCCTTGTGATCAGTTTGATCAATTACTATTCTTGTGTTCATGCAAATACTCAGACCAAACTAAAACTGGACTTAATGCAGTCCCTTTGAAAATGAGGGTAATCCTAGAAAAATTGTGTCTCAATGGAAACCACCATGTCCAGTTGTGAATATTGAACTCCAGTGTAGTTAACTGTCTTCAAAGTTTTGCTTTTAAGCTTGTGTCTGTGTGTGTCATACACTGTTTCTGGAAACTTTGGAAGGTTGTGGAGGTAGTTTTAGTGGGAGTGACAATGTTGGTTGTGGAGAAAACTTCAGTGATCAACGTGGTTTTGGTGGCAGCTGTGGTGTGGTGTGGTGTGGTGTGTGGTGTGGTGGATATGGTGGCAGTGGAGATGGCTCTAATAGATTTGGTAATGATGGAAGCAATTTTGGAGGTGGTGAAACTACAATGATTTTTGGCAATTTCAACAATCAACCTCGAAATTTTGAACTTATGAAAGGAAGAAACTTTGGAGGTAGAAGGCCCCTATGATGGTGGAAGCCAATGCTTTGCCAAACCACGAAACCAAGATGGCTATGATGGTTCCAGCAGCAGCATTAGTTATGGCAGTGACAGAAGGTTTTAATTATTGCCAGGAAACAAAGCTTTGCAGAAGAGGAGAGCCTAAAAAGTGACAGGAAAGCTACAGGTTACAACAGATTTGTGAACTCAGCCAAGCACAGTAGTAACAGGACCTAGCTGCTACAAGGAAGATATGTTTTAAACAATACTCATGTGAATGAGCAAAAATATTGAGGATTCCAGCGAGACCGGTTTGGCTCAATGGATAGAGCGTCGGCTTGGGGACTGAAGGGTCCCGGGTTCGATTCCAGTCAAGGGCATGTACCTTGGTTGCGGGCATATCCCCAGTAGGGGGTGTGCAAGAGGCAGCTGATCGATGACTCTCTCTCATCGATGTTTCTAACTCTCTATCTCTCTCCCTTCCTCTCTGTACAAAATCAATAAAATATATATTTTTTAAAAATATTGAGGATTCCCTAGCCAGTTTGGCTCAGTGCATGGAGCCTCGGGGGCCTGAGAACTGAAGGGTCCTGGGTTCAATTCAAGTCAAGGACACATACCTCAGTTGCAGGCTTGATCCCAGGGCATTGAGGCAACCAGTTGGTGTGTGTGCCTCTCTCATATCAATGTTTCTCTCTCTGTCTCTCTCCATCCCTTCCACTTTCTCCGAAAATTAATAGAAAAATATCCTCATGTGAGGATTAATATATAAACAAAATATAACATTAAACATCTAATCATTTATCAGGTCTTATTTGCCACTTATCCCAAAAATTCTAAAAAATAAACAAAAACTCAAAGACTGTATTTGTGACTTATGGTATAATAGGTTATTTTAGTTTATGTTCTGTGGGAAGTGTAAAGCATTCTAAAAAAGGATTTTAATATAAGGTGTTTTTTTTTTTTTTTTTTTGCACCCATGCTGTTGATTGCTAAATGTAGTTAGATAATGATGCTGAATAAATATCTTTTTATTGATTTCAGAGAGGAAGGGAGAGGGAAAGATAGCGAAACATGATGAGAGAGAATCATTGGTCAGCTGCCTCCTGGGTATCAAACCTGCAACCCAGGCATGCACCCTGACCAGGAATCAAACTGAGATCTCCTGGTTTTATCGCTTCTCGGCCTTTTGGCTAAGATCAAGTGAGATCTCCTGGTTTATAGGTTGACCCTCAACCACTGAGCCATGCTGGCCAGGCAAATATGCCTTTTAAAAATAATAATAATAAAATGTCAAAGATTAAAGACAAAGAGAGAATCTTGAAAGCAGCAAGAGGAAACCAGTTAGTTACCAACAAGGGAACTCGCATAATATTGGCAGCTGATTTCTCAACAGAAACTTTGTAGGCCAGAAGAGATTGGTACAAAATATTTACACAAAAAGTGATGAAAAGCAACCAAGATTACTCTATCTAACAAAGCTATCATTCGGAATCAAATGATAGATAAAAATCTTGCCATAAAAGAAAACACTGAAGGAGTATTATAAGAAATGTTAAAAGGCCTTCTTTAAAAAGTAGAAGAGATTGGTGTGGTAGGCCTCCTGATCTGGCCACACCCACTCAGCTGTGCTATCCAGGTTCCTTCTGATGATATAATTAGCCAGGGGAGAGTGGTTCTCCTTTCCTCCCTCGTTGCTTGAAGATCAACTTCTATCATAAATGATACAGTAACTATTGAACCAGGAAGTTCATGACCAACAGACTACTTCAGCAGAAACAAATGGGCACTGACGTCCTTCACCCTGGGAAGGCAACAGTACCCAAGACACAAATTTGGGAAAAACTAGCCAAACTGTATAACACCACACTAGATGTCACCTTTGTGTTTGGATTCAGAACCCATTTTGGTGATGACAAGACAACTGACTTTGGCATGATTTATGACCATTATGCAAAGAAAAATGAACCCAAACATGGACTTGAAAGACATGGCCTATATGAAAAGAAGTTGACCTCAAGAAAACAAATGAACACAAGAATAGAATAAAGAAAATCAGGGAGACTATGAAGGCCGATGTTGGTGCTTAAGATTTGTCAACAATGTGTCACTTCCTCTGGACATTTCCAGTGTCATATTCTCGGAAGAGCATACATTGAGAATTTAGACTCAGCATTTATGATGCCTCTGCTCTTTCTCTCTACCCTCAAGCAATCAGCATCATTAAAAAGAAGAGAGCCCAGCTGGTATTGCTCAGTGGTTGAGCATCAACCTATGATCCAGGAGGTCACAGTTCAATTCCCAGTCAGCACATACCTGGGTTGCGGGCTCGATCCCCAGTGTGGGGCGTGCAGGAGACAGCTGATGAATGATTCTTTCTCATCACTGATGTTTCTATCTCTCTCTCCCTCTCCCTTCCTTTCTGAAATCAATAATAAAAATATATTTAAAAATAAAATATATTTTAAAAAAGGAAGAGAAATCCCCACAAAATTTTTTAAATAAATAAAATAAAAAGTGCAACCAAAGTCACCATCTATGCCTACCACTAAAAGATGATGCGGGACATGTAGATTTGACACTGGTTGTGAAAGTCTTAAATGTAGTCCTAAAGAATTTAGTTTTTCTTTTCTTTTTTTATAATCCTCACCTGAGGATATGTTTTTATTGATGTGAGAGAGAAAGAGAGAAACATCTATCCAGTTGCCTCCTCTATGCACCCCAACCTGCAACTCAGTATGTGCCCTGACCGGGAATTGAACCCACAACCTTTTTGGTGTAAGGAACAACACTCCAACCAACTGAGCCATCTGGTTAGGACCCAAAGATTTTGGTTTTTAAGCAAATACAGATTGAGCTTCTCTGGGCTAGGCCACGAATACAGAGATGGATGTGATATTGGCCCTGCCCTTACAGGTACACTTTAGAGTATGTGATGTTGAGGGGTAACTTTTAGAAGGCCCTAAACCCTCCTCTTAAACCCCTCATCCTAAGGCTAGAGCTGTCTCCTTACTCTCCAAAGAAGGTAGGAGGTGGGAGGAGAATGACAAAAGAGATCCTGGTCCCCAGTCCAGCTCAGCCCTCCTCCCCAAGCTCTCCTTTGTGTTAGAATGCTGGGAATTAGACTGGAGAGGGAGCCCTCCAAGTTACCAGAGCATCATAGTTTACATTCCCCTGACTAGGTCAAGGACCTAAAAAGGTGACTGTACAGAGCTCCTTCTAATAGCTTTTTCCCAGCCTCTCCTGTATCTGCAGACATGAAAAGTTGAATTCTGCAGTTCTAAAGACCTGGTGACTTTGCTGCTTCCCTCTAGCCTTCCAAGCTTCCCTGCTTTCCTTTGCCTAAAAAAAACCACTACAGCCATAGTCCTCTGCTCTAGGGCCTTCCAACCCAAAGTCCTCTGCCTACCTCAAGGCGTACTGCATCTCCCTCTTTCCTCTTCTACTGACATGGATGAGCAGAGCCTTTCACCTCCTGCAGAACATGCTCACTCCTCCACTCTGCTCCTCCTGGCCTCTACCCTTATAACCCTCAAATTATCTCACTAACCTAAGGGTTCCCTCTTCTAACTCTCCCACATGGTCCTCTGGGCGCTCTCCTTTCAGCTCTTTGAGTCTCCCCAAACCTGTTTCCCAGTAGTCTCTTCCACAGAGTTCTCTCTAATGCACCTGCTTTGCTTTTGCCTCCCTGAGAGACGTGTACAGACATATGTACACGTCCCATCTCCCTCTGTGCACTGGGAGATGTTGCTGACTCTTCTTTCCTCTTGCTAGTCACTCTTTCCCTCCTCCAATCCTCTTTTACCCCCACCTCCTAGTGCACGGGATAGGTCTCTCTGTTTGTAGTGCCACTGAGGACAGTGAGGTAATGACATGCTACTAGGGGATCACCCTGAAGGAAAAACCAGTCCTGACTCTCCATCTTCTGAAAAAGATTTTGTTGGATGCTTTTCAACTAAAAGTACATAATTTAGCCCTGACCTTGTTCTGTCTTTGAATTACAGATAAATTAGTTTACTTGAAAAGAAATATTTTCATTTGTATTTCCATGTCACCTGTCATTTTCCCTGCCTTCCACCCGCAGCCCCGCCAACTGGCAGGAAGGTTAGCAAAGCTGCAGATAAGAGGAGTATAATAGGGCTTGGGTCATGGTGAGGCGCCACTTGTGGTCTACTCCACTGGCAACATGCTGAGCTTCCTCGTCTTTGCCACCCTGGTCCTTCATGGTGAGTGGGTCATGTGGCCCGAGATCTAGCAGGAGGGTCAGAAAGCTATCCCTAAGCCCAGGCCTGCTCTCTACTCCAGAGCGGGTAGGACACTCTGCCTGTAAGTGTAGCAAAAATTTTACTCTCCTGGAGCCCGTGACAGAAAAGTTTGGGGCCACTCTTGTGCAGGCCCCTCATAAAGCAGAGAGGCCTCTCCCAGGGGCCTGGGCTTCCCTCCCTCCCCCACTGACAAGAAGGCATCCTCAGCAGGAGCCTCGCTGGCATGAGCACTGCTGTCCATGCCCCCTGAGGAATCCTGCCCAAGCGCGTGCGTGCGTGTGTGTGTGTGTGTGTGTGTGTGTGTGTGTGTGTGTGTTGTTGTTGTTGTTGTTGTTTGGGGTAGGATGGTAGTCAAGAAGGAGGGGTTCCCGGTAGGCCTGAGGAAGGTTGAGACAAGGTGTCTCTGAGGCCCCAGCCTGATGATTTGAGGTAGGTCCTTCACAGCATGCCAGAGTTCTGAGGACACGAGGGAAAGCAGAAGGCACTCAGACTCCCCTGCTTTCAAAAGAGGCTCAGCGAACTCACAGCGGGTGGGGGGAGGGGGGGCTCAATTGCTAGAGAGGAACTGTGAATTTGCAGACAAAGCACAACTGCTATTCCCCATCCCCCTCCTCCCCCCAATTAGTCATCACTCACTTTTCTTCTGCCCCACAAAGGACACAGCACCCAGGACTTTCCGGAAACCAACACCCGGGTAGTTGGAGGGGTTGAGGCCCGGAGGAATTCCTGGCCCTCTCAGGTGGGTGTTTCTTCACAGCCCCAGACTTCCAATAAAATAAGAGTTGCCTGGGCATTGATACATAGTATTACAGGGGTTTGTGTATGTCCTTATCAATAGGAAGCTCTCCAACCGCCTGAATTTTAGATTTTAAAGATGAAAGGGACCAGGCTTAGGTGGTTTTACTAAGAGCAAAAGGCTTGAAAGAGGGAATTTAAACACTAACCACACTCACTCTCCCCGACACACACCTAAACACAAATCACATTTACACTCCCAGCAACACCCTCTGTGCCACATTAACAAGACTGTGTGCCAGACCCTCACTTCAGACTCCATATACCTTGACACTATTACACACACACACACACACACACACACACACACACACACACACACACACCTTCACACAGTATGTGTCGCGCTTTCAAGTGCACTCCTGCCCCCAAGCAGAGTGTGTTGTTTGGCTAAAGAGTTTCCACTTTCATAACAGGACAGTGAGGCTCTGATTTAAGCAATTCTAAATGTATAAAATTGGCAAGTTGAGAGGAATCATTAAAATTAGAATTAAATCAATTTACAAAAGTTGGAGACCCAATTTTCAGAAGTTATTGTGTAATATGAGGGGATGAAGAAGACATGAATTGATAAAAATGAACATTTGAATGGTATTTCTAAATATTCCCTGAAGTAGGAAGACAGGGTCTATCTTGAAAACATTGGAGGGGAGGCTCTGAGACCTAAGCTTATGAGTCGTAGGTGATGGAGCAAATCCATAGCTATATTTCCTTCCCAATAGAAAATGGGAATAGAAGGAAATGAGTTCTTGGCCTCTTTGCAACAACCTAGAGTTGGGGTGGGGGGACAGATACACTCCGTGTGTATGCCTTTACCTCCTCACACCCATCCATGTAAACAATAAACATGGCCCAACAATGGCGCACTCTTTCCTGCTGATCCCAGATCATCTACACACCCTTTCTCATTACCACACCAGGTAGATACTATCAATCAATAGCAATCGACAAATCAAGTGAAATCTACTTGCCATCTCTAGCCCAGAAAGTTGGAGAATGTTTTGAGGGATGTCAGAAACTTAAGGGGTAACATAATTTGGGGCAAATGCTTTTAAGAAACACCACTTATTCTTCCTTTCTTCCCTCTCTGTCTAGATTTCCCTCCAGTACTGGTCCGGAGGTAACTGGTATCACACCTGTGGAGGGACTCTGGTCAGACGGAACTGGGTGATGACAGCTGCTCACTGTGTGGACAAGTGAGAAAAACAAAGACCAGCTTTACTGAGCCCCTGTGGGGAAGAGTCTGGCCCTTCTGGAGAAATATATATCTCTGACCATCAGGGCAAGACTTTAAAAGTCTGGGTGGAGGCCTGTGGGAAGGCAGTACAATATAATGAAAAGTATAAATTTTGGCATTAGGCAAGCTCAGGTTCAAATCTCATTCCACCTTCTTCCAGCTATATGACCTTAGATAATTTACTTCTCTAAGTCTTCTTTCTCTTCTCTCTAAAGTGAGGTAATAGCCGAAACCGGTTTGGCTCAGTCTGCGGACTGAAAGGTAGAGCGTCAGTCTGCGGACTGAAAGGTCCCATGTTTGATTCCGGTCAAGGGCATGTACATTGGTTGCGGGCACATCCCTGGTAGGGGGTGTGCAAGAGGCAGCTGGTTGATGTTTCTCTCTCATCGACGTTTCTAGCTCTCTATCCCTCTCTCCTCCTCTCTGTAAAAAATCAATAAAATATATATTAAAAAAAATAAAGTGAGGTAATAAAACGTACTTTGTAGTTATTGTGAGGGTTAAGGAGGTAAATATTTGAGTGCCTAGTCAATCAATGCCTGGCTGGTAACAATATTTTTAAATTGATCTTTATTGTTGAAAAAAAAAAAAGATGTCCCTTTTTTTATTGATTAAGGTATTACATATGTGTCCTTACCCCACCCTCCCATTGCCACCCCCAAGATGTCCCTTTTTAAAAAATGTATCTTTATTGCTGGCTGGTAACAATTTTTCATATGGCACAATTGTCGGTTCTCAGTTGAGCATGTATCAGAATCTCCTGGCAGGCACAGATTGCTGAACTCCACCTAGCATTTTCTGATTTGGTAGGTCCAGGGTGAGGCCTGATAGTCTGCATTTGTAGCAAGTTTCCAGGTCAAGCAGATGCTGTTGTTCCAGGGACCATGCTTTAAGAATTATTAGTCTAGAAATTCATACTTTCCTCAAAATTCCTCTGTGAGCTAAAAAGCCATTCTTTCATTTATATTGAATGTTTAGTTTCAATATAATGTTTAGTTTAATGAACTGGGAAAATGAAGTTGATGGTAGTTTTTTTGTCCTCCCATGTTAATTAATTAGGAAATGAGAGAGCTTGTTATTTCCTCAATGTCCAGGACTTTTCATCCTTCCTCTGCTGGATCAGATAAGATGAGTTCCTGTCCTAGAGATAAGATATAAGCTGGTTTCCCAACTTTTCCCTAAGGGGGAAAGAGAAGGCTTGGGCATCCTGGATTAATCATGGCTTCCTTCTGTCACTCCAGCGGAATGACATTCCGTGTGGTGGTTGGAGACCACAACCTGAGCCAGAATGATGGCACTGAGCAGTACGTGAATGTGCAGAAGATCGTGGTGCATCCATACTGGAACAGCAATAACGTGGCTGCCGGGTAAGGGCAAGACTGGGCTAGCCTTGGGCTGGGAAGTGAAGGGCTGACTAGCAACAGGTTTTGGCTTTCTTCACATTCATCCATGAGGACTTTGAGAATTCATATTTTGGAGAATTTGAGAATTTTTTTAAATTTCTAATATTTATTTTATCTAAGCTGGTTTGCATGATTCCATCACCTGAAGCTCTTTCTCTGCAGAGTTTAATGTTTCTATTTTTATTGTAATTTATTATTTACTAAAGGCCTGGTGCACAAAATTTGAGCACTTGGTGGGGGGAGGGGGTCCCTCAGCCTGGCCTGCGCCCTCTTGCAGTCTGGGAGCCATTGGGGGATGTCCAACTGATGGCTTAGGCCCACTCCCCATGGGAAGCGGGCCTAAGCTGTCAATCGGACATCCTTAGCACTGCTGCAGAAGCAGGAGAGGCTCCCACCACCTCCACTGCACTCACTAGCCGTGAGCCCAGTTTCTGGTTTTCGGGCTGAGCAGCGCTCCCCCTGTGGGAGCACACTGATCACCAGGGGGCAGCTCCAGCATGAAGCATCTTCCCCTTGGTGATCAGTGAGCAACATAGTGACCAGTTGCTCTGCTGTTCAGTCAATTTGCATATTAGTCTTTTATTATATAGGATTTTATGGAATAGACTTCATCAACAAAAGTAAATTTCTTAAAATGAATCTTTGCCCTAACTGGTTTGGCTCAGTAGATAGAGCATTGGCCTGCAGATTGAAATATCCTAGGTTCGATTCCGGTCAAGGGCATGTACCTTGGTTGCGGGCACACCCCCAGTAGGGGGTGTTGCAGGAGGCAGCTGATCGATGTTTCTCTCTCATCCATATTTCTAATTCTCTATCCCTCTCCCTTCCTCTCTGTAAAAAAAAATCAATAAATATATGTTTTTTAAAAATTAATCTTAGCCGGGACTGGTTTGGCTCAATGGATAGAGCGTCGGCTTGGAGACTGAAGGGTCCCGGGTTCGATTCTGGTCAAGGGCATGTACCTTGGTTGCGGGCATATCCCCAGTAGGGGGTGTGCAAGTGGCAGCTGATCGATGACTCTCTCTCATCGGTGTTTCTAACTCTCTATCTCTCTCCCTTCCTCTCTATACAAAATCAATAAAATATATTTTAAAAAAAAATAAAAATAAATAAAAATTAATCTTAAATGTGAAAACTTCACCAGCAAGTGCTGCTATTTAAATTATAATGTCCTAAACAATCCAATGTATAATGAATCAAGCTTGAGATTTAGCAAGTCAGCTCCCTCTTTCTTCAAAATCATTTGTTTCCAATTCTATGGGGTCACAAGGCTAGGGGAGGGTCTGCCCATTTGCCCACCTGAGGCCTGAGGCCTGAGACTTGAGACCTGTTCAGCCATGGGCAGCTGGCCCATGAATGAGCAGTCTTTTTTCTTCCCTCCTGTAGTTATGACATCGCCCTGCTGCGCCTGGCCCAGAGTGTTACCCTCAACAACTACGTCCAGCTGGGTGTTCTGCCACGGGAGGGAACCATCCTGGCTAACAACAGCCTGCTACATCACAGGCTGGGGCAGGACCAGAAGTAAGTCACCTACATGAGTACCGTCTACCACATGAATCTTGATTAGCTGAGCTTCTAGGGTACAATTTTCTGTAATACTAGGTATTCATAGCCAGAAGCCAAGAAACCACAAAGGAACCAGAGATAAAATAACTGAGACATGAAATCAAGCTAAGAACAGGCAATGGAATTAAGGTAGAGAGTCATAGACTCTTATAACTCAAAAAACAAACCAACAGCAACAACAAACCACACTACTTAACTCAGTATTATATACAAGTCTCTCAACATGAGGAAACTGAGGCCAAAGGAAATTAAACACTCTGTACAAGATCACATTACTAGTTAGTAACTACTGATCTGGGGCTGGAACCCAGGTATCCTGGCTCCCACTCCTGGAGGTAGTCATTACACCATTGTTCTACCTCCATAGATAGTCACAGGGTTTTGGGTTGGAGTGAGTGAACTAATGTATTATAGCTGTAGGTCCAGAAAAGTCAAAGCAGATGAGGCCTCCACCTGCTTCCGGTCATCATGGGAAATTTTCTGGTAGGGAATGTTATTCAGATAACATAGAAAGGTGGGAGAGGCTATGAGCAGAAATAGTTAAGAAGGGCAGAGATGTTAGGCCTGACATGGAAGTCTATCAGCCACCAGGCAGTAGTTGAGCTCTGAAAGAGAGGCAAGGCCTTGCTATGAGCGGCCAGTCTCCGGGGAAAACCTGGAGCTGAGAGACATACTTCTAATCCAGCTCTGCTCTCAGTTCACTTAATGTCATTGCGGTTCAATTTCATGATCTTTAACATGAAAGGGTTGTAAGGGTCCAAGGAAATAATTCATGTGCAAAGGCTTTGAAAAATCAAAGAGCCAGATAAAGAAGAGGTGCACCAAGCTCTTAAGAAATGCAAACAAGGGTACACAATCCCATTTCTGCTTCATGTATACAGTGTAAGGAAAAAACAGGACAGGCAGATAAGTTATCAAAAAATGATTCTAGTTACTTCGCTAAGGTATCCATGAGGGGGGGAAAAAAAAGGCAGGAGTAGGATTGGTTGTGGTTGTTTTTTGGTTTTTTAAATCTGTATTATTTGTGTGTTTTTAAATATATTTTTTATTGATTTCAGAGAGGAAGGGAGAGGGAGAAATAAACAGAAACATCAACGATAAGAGAGAATCGATTGGCTGCCTCCCATACGCCTCCCACCAGGAATCGAGCCTTCAGCCGGGGAATGTACCCTTAACTGGAACCCCGGGACCCTTCAGTCTGCAGGCCAACGTTCTATCCACTGAGCCAAACTAGCTAGGACTAGGATTGATTTTTTAGAAGTGGGGAACAGTAATCAAGGATGACACCCTAAACTAAGGAAAGAGCCTATTGATTCCATATAAAGAGAGGGGGGAAAAGGAAGATCTATGACATGCAGTGGGCAGAAAGAAGGAACTTGCCCAGAGTTCAGCTTTCATCAGAGCTTGGGAAGGTTTGGGAGAATGTGGAAGGTTTTTCCCTTGGGGCTGATCTCCAATGCTGTGCGTCCTGTTTAGCCAATGGACAGCTGGCCCAGACCTTGCAGCAGGCTTACCTGCCCACTGTGGACTACGCCACCTGCTCCAGCTCCTCCTACTGGGGCTCCACTGTGAGGAACACCATGGTGTGCGCTGGAGGAGATGGCGCTCGCTCTGGATGCCAGGTGAACACATGTAGAAAGTCTCTAAAGTCCCACCCTCGAGCCCTCCCCTCTCTGCCTACCACTTCCCACCTTTTCCTTCCCCACTGTTCCACACTTACACCCCATGTACAGATTCGACTTTCTACTCTAGTTTCTGAATGAGAATGATTCTTGGCTGGTAACTCTATGCTCACAAGATCTCAAAGTTGAAAAAAAAAAATCTTAAAAATGCATCTTGCCTAGAGGCCCCACCTCAAAAGCTTGTATGTGGTCTAGTATTTGTGTTGGTATATGTTCTTTAGAATTTGTTCATGACCTAGACTCTTTATGGATGCAGTGGGGCTAAGCCTGGAGTGATGGTTGTAATTTTGTATTGATAAATGATCAATAGCTCCTCTATTTCCACTCTTTCACCTCACTAGTATTTACAGCCATGCGTATAGGTGAATATAGTAGGGAAAAGTGCCCAAATGGTTTTATAATAGCATAAACATAATTTTCTCTTTAAACAAGATCAATCAGCAATATACCATCTTACAGATTTTTAAAAATATATTTTATTGTTTTTTTACAGAGAGGAAGAGAGAGGGATAGAGAATTAGAAACATTGATGAGAGAGAAACATCAATCAGCTGCCTCCTGCACACACACACACACACACACACACACCCCACTGGGGATGTGCCCGCAACAAAGGTACATGCCCTTGACCAGAATCCAACCTGGGACCTTTTAGTCTGCAGGCTGACGCTCTATCCACCAAGCCAAACCAGTTAGGGCTACAGATTTCTTAATGCAATTCAACAAATGGTCTTTATTAGCTACTAAATAAAATACCAGATACTGTGCTAAATGCTAGGGATACAAAGATAAATCAAACACAGTGGAGAAATGAGAGAACATTATAATATAATATGATTAAGTGTTACAATGAAGATATGCACCAGGTGATAGGGAAGTCCAAAAAATAGGTACTTGTACTTACCTCTAACTGTTGGGACCTGAAAAGACTTGCCTTCCCTGAGAAAGTGGAATCTGCAGTGAGTCCTGAGAGTTAAACAGGAGAAGGAGGGAAAGATACTCAGAAAGAGATACAGCATGAAGAAAGCCATGCACCAAGAATCTAGGTAGGAACATACAGAATTATAGGGTGTTCCCTACAGTTAGCTGGAGCAGAGGTCGAAGCCCACAAGCCTCTAAATCCAGCCTGTTGCCTGTCTTTGTTTGGCCCTTGAGCTAAAAATGATTTTTGCATTTTTAAATGGTTGGGGGGAAAATAACAGAATAATATGTCATGACAGATGAAAAATATAAAAATTCAATGTTCCTAAAAATATTTTAGTGGAAAACAGTATAATTGTTTCTTGTGTATTGTTTATGGCTGCTTTTACAGAATTCAGTAGTTGTAGCAAAGCCTGCAAAGCCTAAGATATTTACTATTGGCCGTTAACAGAAAAAGTTTGCTGACTCCTTGAGCTAGAACATAAACTATTACCATACTAGGGAATGTCAGGAGATGACACTCGGGTCACGTAGGAGCCACATGACATAGGGCTTTAAATGTCATGCTTGGGCCAAAGCCAGTTTGGCTCAGTGGTAGAGCGTCGATCTGTGGACTAAAGGGTCCTGGGTTCGATTCCGGTCAGGGGCATGTATATTGGTTGCAGGCACATCCCCAGAAGTATCTCTCTCCCTTCCTCTCTGTAAAAAATCAATAAAATATATTTTAAAAAATAAAATATAAATGTCATGCTTAGTGAACATGAACTTTATCACTTAGGTACTGGGAAATTATTGAAGAGCTTCAAACAGAATAGTGTGATCAGATTTGCCTTTTAGAAACACTCTCTGGTGGCAAGATAACATGTTTTTTTAAGAGGACAAGACTGGCAGGGAGATTGGTTAGGAGACTGTTGTAATTATCCAGGCAAAAAAAAAATGAGGGTCTGAATTAGGGCAGTGGAGAAGAGGGAAGAAGAAGGATAGGGGATGACCTACAGGCATTTGGTTTAAGTTATTTGGGAGAGAGGTTTGCTCCCTCAAATGAGACAAGATTTATAGGGTTTGAGAGGAAAGATGAAGAGTTTAGTTCTGGATAAGTTGATTCTGAGATCCCTGTGAGATTCAGGTATAGTTAACTGGTAAGAAATTAGATATAAAGAAAGCGGAACCTGAGTAAGAGAGCTGGGCTAGAAATACCCTTAACAACAACTGAGACACTCCCACCCCACCCCTCACCTCCAAGGAAACCACTAGAAAAAGAGCAGTGACTTAGCAGAACTGCAATAACATAAATATGAGAGTGCTTCAGGGAGATATGTGGAAGACAAAGAACCCATAAAGATCTAAGAGGACTAGTGGCAAGAGAAAAATAAGAGTTTTATTAAATCTCAAAAAATATGGATAGATCATCACAAATAAACAGTGCAGCCAGATCCACAATAGATAACTGAAAGTGACTATTTGGCAGTGGGTGAGTCACTGGCAACTATGGCAAGAACAGTTCCAGTGAAATGGTGATGGCAGAGACTCAGGGGTAAGGAAGAAGAGGCAATAAAAACATAGCAAGGGACCAGCTGGTATGGCTCCATGGTTGAGCATCAACCCATGAACCAGGAGACCATAGTCAGGGCACATGTTTTGAAACATCGACATGGTCAATACCCAGTCAGGGCATATGCCAGGTTGTGGACCTGATCCCCAAGAGAGAAGGACAAACAAGAGGCAGCCAATTGATGATTCTCTCTCATTATGTTTCTCTCTCTCTCTCTCTCTCTCTCTCTCTCTCTCTCTCTCTCCCTTCCTCTCTCTGAAATCAATAAAAACATATAAAATATTTTTTTTAAAAAACATAGTAAAGAAATGTAGACACTCTTTCAAGAATCTTGGGTGAAAGAGAGGAACAAAAAAAGTCTGGTAGCTTTAAGAGGAATGAGAAGTCAAAAAAGAGATGGACCTTTTAAGAGGGAAGAAAATTAAGTGTGTTGAAAAGGCAGAAAGAGAAGAATCCTATACAGTCAAAGAGAGGGAATGAATGGATAGCATAAGTTCCCAATGGAAACAAAAAAGATGGAACCAAGAGCACAGGTGGAGCTGGCTTTGGGCAGGGAGAGGGATGCCAAAATGTGCATAAATGTGATTATGTATGCTGGGTACATGGAAGTTGACAAGTGTTCTGCATTACTGCTTTTATCTACTCATGAAGTAGGAGTCAAACTGGATATTGAAACTGAAGAGGAAATCACTGTATGGGTCTGGATTAGTTAAAGTAAATGGGAGAAGGATTGGCCTCCAAAATATTACTGATAGGCTGAGATTAGACATTACACAATAATCACTCAAAGATCCAGTTGTAGAGAATGGATTAATCCAGGACTAGATTTTCCTGCATTACCAGGGCAAAAGACAAGACTGCAAATCAAATGCAAGGTCCAAGCAAGGGGAAGGAGGAAGAGAAGCCAGCAGGAGACTGGTAGGCTGGCTGAAATAACAGAAGCAAAAGATTGTGGGTTTGGTTTTTTTTTTGTTTTTTGTTTTTTTTGTGAGCATTTAGTACTATGGAAGGTGACCAAATCATCCTAGTTTTCCCAGAACTTTTCCAGTGTTAAAACTTAAGAGTCCTGTATCCTAGGAACTTTAAATGCAAGGAGGGACAAAAAAGAAACTAAGACAACCTCTCAGGTCCTTCACGGCCAGCTTAACCTATAACCTCTTAAAGTTTAACCTTTTTGAGTTAATTCATTTCCCAAGGTCTTTTTAAAATTTTATCTATATATATATAAAAGCCCAGCAACCATTAAGGCCAAATGACCAGAATGACTGGTCGCTGTGACACTTACTGACCACCAGTGGGCAGACGCTCAACACAGGAACTGCCCTCTGGTGGTTAGTGTGCTCCCACAGCAGGAGCGCCACTCAGCCGGAAGCTGGGCTCATGGCTGGTGAGCACAAGGGCGGTGGCTGGAGCCTCCCCCGCTTCCATGGCAGCACTAAGGAGATGCAAGACAAGCGGTAAGGAGCGAGCTGGCGGGCAGTTAGGAGCAAGGGGTCCCGGATTGCAAGAGGGATGTCTAACTGCCCGTTTTGGCCCAATTGGCTGGTTTAGGCAGTCAGTCATCCCCCAAGCGGTCCCAGATTTTGAAAGGTGGAAGGCCGGGCCTGAGGGACATCCCACCACCACCCCTACCCCAATGAATTTCATGCATCAGGCCTCTAGTTTTTTAAATCATAGAAATATCTTTTAAGTAATAGAAATATCTCTTTAGTCTCTTTTATTGTCCCTTATTTTTATTTTACTATATTTTTTGTCTTTCATGCCATTGATATTTTTGAAGAGTCCAATTGTTCATAATCAGTTTCAAAGAGAGGTATCCAAGGAGAGCTCAGGAACTGACACATAACTTAAGATGTTATCCAGGAGGGTTAGCCAGGGGCTTAATCTTGTGACTTTTTTTTTTTTTTTTAAGATATATTTTATTGATTTTTTTACAGAGAGGAAGGAAGAGGGACAGAGAGCTAGAAATATTGATGAGAGAGAAACATTGATCAGCTGCCTCCCGCACATCTCCCACTGGGGATGCACCCGCAACCAAGGCACACACCCTTGATTGGAATAGAACTTGGGACCTTTCAGTTTGCAGGCCTGAGCCAAACCAGTCAGGGCTAATCTTGTGACTTTTAGTCAAAACTGGGTTATTGTCTTCTGCTGCTTGGAGGTCAACAATCACCCATGGGGAGAAACTAAGGTCCGGTCAGTGAAATGTTAAGTTCTAGAGGCTGGGAGTCCAGTCAAGGTGTCAGCAGGTTTGGTTCTTGTTGGGCCTTTCTCCTTAGCTATCAGATGGTGACCTTGCTGAGTCCTCATTTGGTCTTTTCTCATCCGGGGTGTTCTCTGTGTCCAAATTTCTTCTCTCCCAGGGTCTTGAATTCTGAAAAAACTAGAGCACTTCTCTTCTGGTTGCCATTCTAAATCGACAATTCTCTAAGATAATTATGTCTCTGGGCCCTTTCCACTGGAGTTTTCCAAATAGTGTACTTTCTAGGTTTTCAGACTTCTGTGTTCCCAACCCCTTTCCTGAGAGTGAATTCATTGAGCTTCTCTGACCTCAATCCACGTACTACCACTGAGTTCTTGTCTGTCTCTTCCTTCTGTCCTAAAATCCTCAGCCATGCCCTCCATCTCTCCAGAGCCTTTGTTTCTTTTCAGATCTATTAGCTTAAGACACTGTATTATATATAATTCAATTACTTTCCTGTCCTATAGTCCTGAAGTACTCTCAAATCCCCATTAGAATTTGGGTAGAAGAGGTTTAGATGGTTTTGTTTGTTTTAAGTACAATAATCTAAACAAAACATCTACTTTGCCTAAACATTAGTTCAGGTGGGGTACAGCCAGTTCCTTTTTAAAATAAATCACTGATTTGAACTTTTGGTCTCTTTCCCTAGTTCTTTTTTTTTTTTTTTTTTTAAGCTTTAATTTTATATTGAAACTACACATATTAAATTGCTCAAGGTGGCAAATAAAACTATGAGGCTTAATAATGGAAAAGAATAGTCATTGTGTTCCTTCCACCACTTGAGCTCCTGCTCCCTAAAAGGAACTATTTTCAACTCTTTTCAGCTGACTTTTGGTTTCCACTTCCATACCTCTCTAAAAATATATATAGTTATATTGCTACTTAATTTTTCAGTTCAGGCATTATGAGAGATGTGGATATCTCTTTCTTTTACACATTTTTACTTGCCACCAAGCATGAACTTTTTCCATCACCACCTCAAACTCCAAAAAATAATTTTATTAGATTAACATTTAATGTTTGTTATGATTATATAAAATACGATTCACAACCAAACCAGGTATTCTAGAATTAACTTTCATTTCCTGCATAACTTTGTATTCCTTGGAAAATAACTGTCTTTTTTATTTGCATAATATGTACTCAACTTATTGCTAATTCAATCCCATACTCTCAATTAATTTGTAAGTGACCTATTTTATCTTCTCTTGTCCCTAGTGTTTGTCTTGATATGGATCTATTTGCATTCATCATGAGGGACACTTACTAGCTTTTTTTTTTTTTTCATTTTGGAAACTCCAGAGCTTTGTTTCTGGAAAATATATATTGTTGGTATTTCCTCCCCTCCATTTTTATTTTCTCTTTCTAGAATTTGTTATTCATAAGTTTACCTCCTAAACTGGTCCTCTTATTTTCTCTATATTTTGTTTGTTCTACCTTTCTCCTAATACTTCCAATATTTCATTTCTACTATCACATTCATAATTTCCAAAGGCTTTTTATTTTCAAATGTTCTATTAATAGCATACTGTTCTTGTACCATGGATGAAATATTAATCATATTTTTATTGTTTTCTTCTCCCTGCATAATCTTAGTTGCCTTTGATTATTTCTTTGTCTCTTTCTTTGATCTTTATTTTTATATTAGAGGCTTTCTTCAAATGTTTGGTAATCCTTGACCATCTGCTCTTACTTTAGAGTGGGGTGGTTAAGAAGTGGATAGGTAGCTCTGAATTTAGGTGGGGTTTATCTATAGTGAACTTTGTCAGGTGATCTGGCTAAGCTATTTCATTTGGGGGACCTTCAATGTCAATATCTTTAGGTTTGTTCTCTTGTGCTGGTCAGATTTTCCTGAGAAATACCTCCCAATTTTATGTCTATTATTATAGAACTGGCATTCTTGAAACTGAGTAAGAAGCATCTCAAGGTCATATTCTATAAACTCAGGTTCTTGATTCTAAGTCTGAGCATGTAACCATTACCCAATACATTACTTTCTCTCCTCTCTATCCCAGTTTAGTTTAACATGTATTAACTACATATCCTGTGTTTAAATGTTTAGTCTAATTAGACCCATTGGTCTAAATGCTGGGGATAAAGAAATCATTAGAACACCCTAGTTCTCCCATCCCAGGTTCAATTTAAGTCAATAAAAACCATTAAACTTGGAGCTGTTCAAAGTTCTGTGTTAGCATTGTAGAAAGGAAATTGTCATCAAAACATAGTTCCTGTCTCAAGCTCTTAGCTATGCGTGGGAGGTAGAAACAAATTATGAAACCAAAATGCAAGGCAGAACATGACATAAATAATTCAAAAGAAAGGCAGAAGTACTGTGGTTGTTTAGAAAGGAAGATGAGATTCATCTTGATTGTGGGATTATGTAACAAATGGTGATGTGAATTGGAGTTTTAAAACTGTACAGAATTTTACAGAGATGGGGGTGGGCAGGATGTAAGCAAGAGCAAAGGCCCAAAGATCAAAATATCTGTTTTTTCAGGACTCTGCTTTTATTTCTTGCAGGGTGATTCTGGAGGCCCCCTCCACTGCTTGGTGAATGGTCAGTACACTGTCCATGGAGTGACCAGCTTTGTGTCCAGCCAGGGCTGTAATGTCTCCAGGAAGCCCACAGTCTTCACCCGGGTCTCTGCTTACATTTCTTGGATGAATAATGTGAGTCCTCTCAAATAATGGGTTGAAATAGGGTCACCTGGAGACCTGTGCACTGGCTGGGTTGAAAAGTAAAAGTTGGGAAGGGGAAACCATCATTTTCTTCATCACATTCATATGTTTACTCCTTTCCAGCTCCCCCCGTGCGCTTCCTCCCCCCCCCCGCCCCGCCCCACCAGTGCACTTTCCCTCAATAATGATACCACCCTGAGTTTCCCTTCACATACCCACTAAGTAGGCTACACCATATTGTTTACTGCTTAGGGTAAGATGGTGATGGTGATAACAACAAATCTGAGCCAAGCATTTATCACAGCTGTCCTAAGTTAAAGTCAAGAAAAGCAGCTTCAGAAGGCCTGCATTCTCCTGGGCAAGGGAAGAGGCACTAGCAATTTCTCATATTATGAGAATTTGCTCTATTCTTTGATGTTTTACCACTTTAAACAATGTTTGAGGGTTAGATGAAACTCTACTGATACTGATTTAGTGGGAAGAGACTCACAGTCATCTCACCTGTGCCTTGCAGCCTTCTAACTCATTCTGGAGTCTTGTGGTATGAACATTAACTCACAACCATTGCGAAGTCTGTCCTTGCCACTAAATCCTGGATATCTATATATATATAAAAGGCTAAGTGTCCATCAGACTGGTAGCTATGATGCACACTATCACCAGAGGGAAGACACTCAATGCAGGAGCTGCCGTGATGCACACTCATTTAAAAATAAATGGCACCTCAGACCTGGTGCCAACAAACCAACATTCAACTTCCCCCAAGTGGGACACAGGCCCTGCCACCACCCTGGAGCAACATCTCACCAAATCGCAGCCAAGACCCCATGGTACAAAATGAGGCCCATAGCCCAGCCAGTCGCTTTGGGCACCGGGTAATGACATCACATAGCAATGCCCAGCCTCCTCTCCCTAACGACTAACCTTCTTGGAGTTTCTTCAACCCAGGAACATGACTTGCTTTATAGCCAGGTGCAAACGTTTTACACTTTAACCAAATTTTTGTGAATCATTTTCACATGCCTCATCACATTTGATCCTCACAGAAGTCCTAGAGAAGGTAGATAGGAGACTCAGTAGAATCCTATTTTCTTTTCATTAGCAGGAAAATGGAGATTTAGAAAGTTTAGAAACTTGACCCGATTGAAAAGAAGTAAGAAATGGTGGACCTTGAAAATGTCTTTAGGTTTTCTCACTGCGCAGAATATAGTCAAACACTGCTGCAATATTTTATCCTTTGTTCTCCCTGCATGATCTACAATAATAATGTCCTTTATGTTGCTATTTACTGCTGTGTTGTTCACAATTACCTGAAAGAGGAGTCTAGGTGCTTCACTGGGCTGGAAAAAAGATTAGCTAAATCAGATATATATAGTTAAGGTTGACTTGCACATGTGCAATACATATAAAGCACTCACTGGTGCCTATCACATGAGTGTGTTTTGATCTGTCATTTGTCGATCATGAATTTGGTTGACACTTCTATTATAAAGAAAGGGCGAATAACAATATTAAAATATTTCTTCTAATTAATTTCCTTTCAATGTGCATGAATCCGTGCACCGAGACACTAGTGTGTCCATAACATTGAATTGTCTTGACACAGCTGCTCTACAACCTCTCAACTCCCTATAAACCCAGTATAGGGCCATATGCAACTAGGAACCCTGAAGGAAAAAAAAAAAAAGGATATAGGCAGAAATAACTGACTGTGGATATAACTCGCTTTTCCTTCAGGTCATTGCCAACAACTGAACATCTTCCTGAGTACAACAGCCATGCCAAGATGATCCTTTAATTCGCAGCAGCACTTGAGGCCATCAAGAAAAAAACATTCTAGGAGATTATTGAACCAGATACAGAAATGCAAATAAAACTGCATACACATTACCAAACTGTGTCTTCTTATTTGCAATTAAGCTCTCTAGAAAAATGCAGTTATAGGTCCCAAGTTGGATTTCACCACATTTCTGGGCTGGTTCTTCCATTTTCTGCCACAAAATATCAGTTCACAAACTAAGCCAAATGGGAGTGGTTTTATATTATCCTTTTTAAATTATCTTATGTTCTACTGATCCATTAATCTACCCAACTGCCCTCCTCCGATGCATATTTTCTATATACAAAGGCACAGAGTACTTTTAAATGTTCCTGAGTGACAAAATGTGTTCTGATCTTCCAGGTACACTGTAGGGTCCTTCTTCTTTTGTTTCCCCTTCAGTGCCTAGACCAAGTGCTCACCCCAAGGTTCTGGATGGTGGCAACTTCTTATAAGGATACACTACAGACAGGAGTATAGGATTCGGTGACAGGTCAGGTGCTAGCAAAGAAAGTGGAAAATTAGAAAGACTTGGAAGTAAAAAAGTAGAAAAAAGGAAAAAATAAAATGCCGAACAAAGAAAATAAAGATTTAAGGGGAAGAGGCAGAACAAAAAGGGAGAGGAGACAATTATATGGGGCCTCATGTGAGCCATGGCCACATCCGCAAGTACCAGAAGCACTTGGGAGGCCAAGGTAATTCTGGTGGCTTATATCATCTCAGGATTAACTTGGACAACTACCCAGTTTCCCCAAAAATAAGACAGTGTCTTATATTAATTTTTGCTCCCAAAGATGCACTAGGTCTTATTTTCAGGGGATGTCTTATTTTTCCATGAAGAAGAATACGGTACACATTATTGTTAAATGAAAATAAAGGAAATTTATTACCTGTATAGGGTACGGTAGAACGGTAGTTGTCAACACAGACCAGACAAACTGTGAATCCTACAGTATCAAGAATTTACTCATTTATTCAATGACAATCATGTCATCATCTTCTGGAACATCATCATAACAATCCAATTCCTGAATTTCCTGGTGAGTTTCTTGTGACTCCATTTCTTTCAGAATCCGTGGACCAAATCTCTCATGTTTAGCCTGGGGGTGGGGGGGCTTATTTTCGGGGGGATGCCTTATATTTCACTCAGAAGGAAACCTGTAAATAGGTCTTATTTTCGGAGAGTGTCTTATTTTCAGGGAAACACGGTATCACCCAGGTTACTAGGTGAAAGCTGATATGACGAATTATTACCACTTAAAGAGGAACCAAAGCTTTTTCCCAATAGTCAACCTTGGTAAACTATGGACCCTGGTTAGTGAGCAGACACAGGTAAAAGCTGCCAAAAACAAGACTGGAGCTGTTCCTATCACTGAGGTGGTGTGATCCGGCTACTACACAGTTCTGGGGAAGGGAAAGCTCCCAAAGCAGCCTGTCATCACGAAGGCCATATATTTCAGCAGAAGAGGTGAGGAGATTAAGGGGGTCCTGTGTCCTGGTAACTTTAAGCCACATATGAGTAGAGAGAAGTTCATTAAATGCTCACAAGCACTTAAAAAAAAAAAAAAATATATATATATATATATATATATATATATATATATATATATATCCTCAAACTAAGTATGAGTTAGCACTTCAAGGCTAAGACTAAAATAGGCAACCTGACCCAGGGTTCCATAAACCACAGAGAACTAGGAAGCTGATAATTTGCCTCATCCTGGCCAGGGCTCAGTTGTTAGAGTGGTCTACTATAGATTGAAGAGTAAACTGAGAGGAGAAGGCTAAAAGGATGAGAAGCAGCAATCTTTTATTTTTTTAAGTCATTTTAAATTTTTATTGGCTGATAAAAAGCTGCCACACTTCCTTCCCACCTCATGCTGCTATTCCTGAATTTAATTTGCAAAGGGAAGCAGAGACTAACAATTTTATTTAACAAAATTTAAACAAGTGGGGGGAAATGCTTATGGTTATCTCTCAGAAAATGTTTCTTCCTACATCATATTTTAAAATACAGTTTTGTTTTCCATTTAGGAACTGTGAAAAACACATATTTAAAATGTTGTTGGCCCTGGCCGGTGTGGCTCAGTTGGTTGGAGCATTGTTTTGTACACCAAAAGGTGGCAAGGGCCCATACCTAGGTTGCAGGATCGATTCCAGATCGTGGCACGTGTAAGAGGTAACAGATCATTGTTTCTCTCTCTAAAACAAATAAAAAGCATGTCCTTGGATGAAGATTAAAATGTCTTTGAAGGATACCCCATTTTGCAATGTATGCTATTCCAGATTCTTTTGGGCTACAGCTGTTTAGAGGTATTCCATGTTCTCATTTCCTATGCTGATGATGCCTAGCAGAACCTTCCATTATTCAGCTTTCTGACATCTTATCAATCATTAGTAGAGGGGCAAGCATTCTTGCCTGATTTGTTTCTACAATGCAGCCTTTAATAGCTTCTCATCCAAAAAAGGTGTATTTTATCCAAATTAAACATTATATCTATCTGAAACCGGTTTGGCTCAGTGGATAGAGCATTGGCCTGTGGACTGAAAGATCCCAGGTTTGATTCTGGTCTGGTGCATGTATACTGATTGCAGGCACATCCCTGGTAGGGGGTGTGCAGGAGGCAGCTGGTCGATGTCTCTCTCATCCACGTTTCTAGCTCTCTATCCCTCTTCCTTCCTCTCTGTGGAAAATCAATAAAATATAAAGAAACAAAAAACCATTATATCTAATTCACTCACTTGGCTAAAGTACTCATCTAAAATTTCCACATAGTTATGAATTCATAAATCGCCATCTCATTCTTAGTGTCATTAATTCCAACCACAATGAAGAGAGCTGCATACTGCTGATACACTAGCTTAAAATCCTTAGGTTCAGTGAAAGTGCACTATGGGGCTCAGAGTGGTGTTAGTCCTTCCCATGGTTTTTCCTAGAATCCTCCTTCCCTTTTCCCACAGAAGCTAGTTCCTCAAACCTCATTAGCTTCGGGGCTTCCTTGGGGTGCCCATTTTGAGAAGCCACTTTCTATAGCAGTTACTGAGGACCAGACAAGAGGGACTAGGGTAGTTAACATTATAGCAGGAGAAACGGCTAAGATAGGTCATGAAATGTGTAGGCTACTATGTCAGCAGAAGCCTCCGGAACAGTGTAAACACTGTAAGAAGCTGGGCTGGGGTCAGGATGTCTATATTCCCAATCTCAGTTCCATACTGAGGGATGGGTAACCTTGGGCAAGCCACCAGCCCTTTCTGCGACTCAATGTCCCTATCTAGTTAATGTCTACAGATTGTCTGTGCTCTAATATTACATGATATGGTGACCACCAATTAGCACCGAAGAGAGTTTTCTGGGAGGCAGTGGCTGGGCTGCACTGCTGAGGATGCTGCAGATTCTGGAAAGTGACACAGGTATTGGCTTGCTTCTGCCAGTGACACAACTGCTATCATCACCATCTTCTCTCAGGTGTCCGTCCCCACAACGCCACCATTCTCCGGGCTTCTCCCCCACGTCTCCCCACCCAACATCAAGCCCTTCCATTTTCTTCATTCTTGACCATCCTCACAACTAGCACCCAGAATAAATTCTATTGCTCTATTACCTGAAAATATTGGCTCTAGCTCTATAAATGAAGAATATATTATACATAACATTATGGTCATCTGATGACCAACCTTTTTCCATTTGTCGACATTCAGCATCTGAGGTTAAAGATCAAATGTTTTTCATTCATCTTTGGCTTCCCAACACTCACCAATGCCAGTCACACGGTTGATCCTCAGTGTAGCACGTCCACTTTGGGGAATGGCTTAGAAAACAATAGACAAGGGCCTCTCATTTTGTCCCGGGCCTCCAGTTTCCCTCTCCATTCCTTAGGAAGTGGTATTTTGACCCTCTCCCCTTCCGAAAGGGAATTTTACCTGCACTGAAGAAAATCCTTGAGCAAATGGTTCCTCCAAATCTAGTGTCCTAATTGCCAGCTATCCCCTCAACAAGTTAGAGAGTAATTTCCTGTTGGACCTACATAGAGAAGCAACCGTTGTAAAAGCAGCAGTCCCACCCCAACTTTCACAATCTGTGTCTGTCTTCACATCTGCTTCCTTCTAGTACATTGCTCTAGTTTACACCAAGCTAGGAAGATTTGCTCTCACAGCCTTCCATAGTCTCCTCCTCATTCTTTTTTCAATATGATCCTCTCCTTTCCTCAGGACCTCCATTTCTGTCTCTACCTCAGTTGCTCCTCCCTTTCAAATTCAGATGTGGGCTCTGTCCCAACCAGTCCTAAGCTTAAAGCCAACCTCTCTGATAGAGGCTTCCATCTTTAAAATAGGTAACCTGATGTAAGAAAGCACATTTTACTTGGCCACCCAGTATACATACCCATATATGTGGAAGGCGCTTTCCCAAACAATAAATGCTCTTGCTGAGTGAAAATCACAGTATTTCCTACCCTATTGTCTCCTCCTTATTTTCCAGGCCAATGGTTGTGGCTAATTGGCCCCATTTGAAAACTGTTCCTGGGGCTGGTGCTCCCTGCCTTAGGGCCTGAGATCTTTGAAGGCGGTCTTCAGTGAGCACTGCCTGAGGGCGGGCCGGGTTTCTGGCCTCTTCCAACAGGCCCAGCCTCCATCCCGAGCTCCACAGGTCCCCACTTGGCCCTCATCTGCTGCTCTGGGCAGAGGGGAGGGCTTCAGGGTCAGTGTGGGCTGGGCTGAGTGGGCCTCCACGTGACGTCGCGGTGGGGCTCAGGTGGCCGCTGTATGGGCCCAGGCTCGCTGCACTGGCCTCCAGTGGTCTTGGGCGGCCTCAGGGTGGTCTTGGGGCGGCCTCGGGGTGGTCTTGGGGCGGCCTCGGGGTGGTCTTGGGGCGGCCTCGGGGTGGCCCTGAGGGGCCCAGGGTGGACCTGAGGGGCCTCAGGGTGGTCTTGGAGGCGGCCTCGGGGTGGTCTTGGGGCCCGGGGTGGCCCTGAGGGGCCTCAGTGTGGTCTTGGGGCGGCCTCAGGGTGGTCCTGAGGGCCCGGGGTGGTCCTGGGGCGGCCTCAGAGTGGTCTTGGGGCGGCCTCAGGGTGGTCTTGGTGGGATCTCAGGGTGATCTTGGGGGGATCTCAGGGTGGTCTTGGCGGGATCTCAGGGTGGCCCTGCGAGGCCCGGGTGGCCCTGAGGGGCCTCAGCGTGGTCTTGGGGCGGCCTCAGAGTGGTCTTGGGGGGATCTCAGGGTGGTCTTGGGGGGATCTCGGGGCGGCCCTGCGAGGCCCGGGTGGCCCTGAGGGCCCGGGGTGGCCGCGCCCAGCCCGCAGGGGCGGCCGCAGGGGAAATGGGGGCCCGCCCGGGCGGAGCAGGGCATGCTGGGAGGCGCACTTCCTCCGCGGAGCCTCCAGGAAACCACAGGCTGTCAGGGCCGCCGGGAGCCGGCAGGATGGCGGAGGGCAAGACGGGCGGCGCGGCCGGCCTCTTCGCCAAGCAGGTGCAGAAGAAGTTCAGCCGGGCCCAGGAGAAGGTAAGCGCCGCCGCCCGCCCGGAGCGGAGGCCGGGCCAGTGCGGCCAGAGGGGCGTCCCGGCTGCTCAGGGCCCCGAGGCCTGGGCTGAAGGGAAGGGTCTCCGGCTTCCCCGGGGAAGCAGCAGCGGGAGTGGGTGTCAGTGAAAGCAGGAGAGAGAGAGAGAGAGAGGAGAGAGGAGAGAGGAGAGAGGAGAGAGGAGAGAGAGAGAGAGAGAGAGAGAGAGAGAGAGAGAATGAATCACCCCATCTTGGGCAAGGATGAGGGACGCTGAGGACACAACTGTCTTTCTCAGGAACCGTAACGCCCAGGCGGACCCAGGAAAGATGAAGGGAAGGAACTAACATTGGCGACTGCTGGGTAGCAGTTGTTTTGTTGTTGTTGTTGTTTTGTTTTTTGTTTTTAATATATATATATATATTTGACTGATTTTTTTACAGAGAGGAAGGGAGAGGAAGAGAAAGTTAGAAACGTCGATCAGCTGCCTCCTGCACACCCCCCACTGGGGATGTGCCCGCAACCAGGTTACATGCCTTTGACCAGAATCGAACCTGGGACCCTTGAGTCCGCAGACCGAGCTCTCTCCACTGAGCCAAACCAGCTAGGGCTGGGTAGCAGTTTTGACCCCATCCGCAGGGATGGTATTTTACAGATGATGACATTGATGGTTCCAAGTGTGTAATTCCCTCGAAGTCATAAGACAGAAATGAGTGCTGCCCGGTGGCTTGGACTGGGAGTCCGAGGACTAGATCATTCCGCCTGAGTCTCTGTGTCTAACCCCGCCTGGCCTCCGGGTGCTGGTTAAGCTGCTGTAAGAGTGGCCGTTTCTGCTTCCTGTACCGTCCAGGCGAGGAAGGTGCTTCTCTCTTTACAGGGTGCCTTTGGTTAGCTCTTGGTGGCCCCACTCCAGCCCTAGCCTTTAGGCATGTTGCCTGTCTATAACTTGCCCACCTATGTAGAGGATGTGGTCACTTACCGACACATGTAATGGCATTCTTGCTTCTACCTACCCAGAGTATTTCCTTTGCCTCTAACCTACATTTCTGCTCCCGCGGTCAACACTCTGCTAGATGAGATGGCATGGGAAGATGAATAAGCCAGAAGAAAAGGGGGAGGGAGCGATAAGAAGGACTCTGTGGTTTTCTAAGGGTCTGTATTTGGATGCATACCACATCTTAAGGATTGGATATTTGTGTAATCTTCTAAAAGCAGAGCACTGGCCTGGAAGAACTAAAGGCAACCAGCTCTCCCACATGAGGTTATCAACGGAGAATTGATGGAATGTAGATAGAGTTCCTGTCTTTTCCGAAGCTCCCGGTGGAAGAAGGGAGGGAGGGAAGAAGCTGGTTCGTGTGAAAAAGCAGAGAAAAAGGAACATTGTGTGACTGGACTGTTACATCACCTTGCCCTACTTCACCTTGATCATGGTTTCAGCCTTCCAAAGGCTGTCTTGTTCCAGATCAGACACGTAGAGATCAGAGTCTGTGGGAAGATCTGGTTAGAAACAGTGTGGAGAGCCGAGACCAGTTTGGCTCAATGGATAGAGCGTTGGCTTGGGGACTGAAGGGTCCCGGGTTCAATTCCGGTCAAGGGCATGTACCTTGGTTGCGGGCACATCCCCAGTAGGGGGTATGCAAGAGGCAGCTGATCGATGACTCTCATCGATGTTTCTAACTCTCTATCTCTCTCCCTTCCTCTCTGTACAAAATCAATAAAAATATATATTTTTTTAAAGTGTGGAGAAAGAGGAGGTGCTAGAGAAGAGAAGGCTAGCTATTCTAGTGATAAGAAAACCCAAAAGCTAAAAACTATGGATAATCGTTATTTTTAAATATATATATATATATATATATATATATATATATATATATATATTTAATTTATTTTATTGATATTTTTACAGAGAGGAAGGGAGAGAGAGATAGAGAGCTAGAAACGTCAATGAGAGAGATACATCAACCAGCTGCCTCTTGCACATCCCTTACCGGGGATGTGCCCGAAACCAACATACATGCTCCTGACCGGAATCGAACCTGGGACCTTTCAGTCCGCAGACCGACGCTCTACCGCTGAGCCAAACCGGTTTCGGCGATAATAGTTATTTTTAAAAGATACAGAAATTGACTTTAACTCACTCCTTCACTTTCTTGTCCTCATCCAGCCTATCATCAACACTATGCCCTTGCTTTGGAATTTCTCTCCTTTTAAGCCTTAGGTAAATAATGCCCGTGCTCTGCCCACTTCAGATTCTGCATTAATGAGAGATATGGTGTTCAGTGATTTGGAAACTCAACATGGTAAGGACACTAAAGTGAGAAGGGGAGAGAGGGTTCCTTGAACCGCAGCGTCAAATGCCTCCCCAAGGGAGAACCAGCTGCCCAGGTACTCTGTTTTTTGTAGTCTGAACCCTGAGAAGGCAGAGCGAGGAACAAACTCAGATCTGCCCTGGGGAGTTCCCAAGCTGTTGCAGAAAACAAGAACATACTCTGAACTTAGACAGAAGGGCAGGCAGAAATTGGAAAGTTCAGCTGGCACCTTAAAGACAGCGGACACTCAACGGATAGAGGGGGAACGGCCTGGGATGTGGGGAGGCGTTCAGCTTACTCAGCCTGCCAGAGTTCTTGATTCTTGGGAAGTTATTTTTATTTTTCTGCTGTTGAATGGGAAGTTATTGAAGACAAGATAAAGACGGTGAAAATTACAGTCAAAAGAAAGGACTCCCTAGGAACCTGCAATCTTTCTATAAGCAGTTGGCTGTAACCTTCTCAGTAGTATGTAATAGCTAACACATCAAATAGTCAAATGTGTCAAATATCCAGTGCCCACTAAGAAAGACATGATCTTTCCCTTTATGGAGCCAACGTCGTTATAATGTGATTTCACTTCATCTTTTCAACCCTTAAGCATGTTGTTATTAGTTTCCCAATTTTAGAAAGGAGGAAACAAGGCTCAAAGGAGATTGGCCTGTGGCAGAACTATCACTGGAACCCAGGTGTCTTGCCTTTGGATGCCAAACTCAGGCTGGTTTACAAGGTTCCCGATAAACCACTCAGACATCTGTGCTTCCCCACTTCCTGCTGGCCTGCCCACTTCCTGCCCATCTTTCCCCAGAGCAGAGCTGGGGGAGTAGGACTACATTTTACTCAGACCACCTCCTCTGAGAAACTAGGAGTGAAGGTCTGGTGACGGTTATACGCAAAGGAGGTGAAGCATTCTTGTGTCATCTTCCAGTTCCCATCCAGACTCAACATGAGACCATGCAAACGGGCTTTATGGTGTTTTTACAAGATGATACATTTTCACATTTCACACCCATGCTTTCATTAACTGTTTGTGATATCTCTGTGGAAAACTCAGATCTCTAACTCCCAACTCCTTTGTTACTCTTTCCCCTCTGTTGACTTTTATTCAACATGTATCTCAGGTGGTTCGATCAACAATATTTAAAGAAAAACTCCTTTGTCCAGAACACCTGGCTGGGCCCAGCAGGGAATTTAGAGATGAGTAAGAGTCATTTTTGTCTGCCCGAAGCTTACAATTTAGTTGTTTGTTTGTTTGTTAAGGGTAAAATAAGTGACCTGAGAGAGCAGCACCTCAGTTGAAATTCAGAGGACAGAAAGATTGAGGAGAATTGAGGGAGGTTTTGTAGGGGAGTCTGAATTTAAAATAGGAATTATGGCGAATTAGTAGTTCCTCAGGCAAGAGATGAGGAATGCCAGCATGAGCCAGGCGTGGCTTCTGGAAATCCTTTAGGCAAGGAGCGGTGGGATAAAAGGCTGGGAAGTATATTAGGGCCATGTTAAAGAGAGCCTACTTTAGCCTATATCCTGAAAATAAAATTTCTTACATAACTACAGTATCATCTCACCTAAGAAAAAAAAATTTAACAAAATTTCATATCTCATGTGCAGGCCCTATTCAAATTACTCTGACTGAGAGAATTAACCTAAGATATACTAGTATGTGATTATGGGGAAGGGTCATGGTGAGGAACTATAGGCAGCAGACATATCTGCAGTGATTTTTTTTTTTTAAAGCTTTACCCTCCCACTTCAACTTACACAGAATGTAAATCAATGAACACTAGAATATTCTTCACCTGTTTCACCAACATTTTGCCACATTTACTTTCACTCTTGTCCCTGCTCTTTCTCCCTAAGTATCTACTATATTATAACTACCCAGCTGCTAAGTCTCAGTGCAGGACTCCAGGGATTGGCATATGTGGACCTTTTCTAGGAAGTGATCCTGAGATAGAATTTACTAATTCTTTCAACAAACATCTGTGGAGCATGTGTACACCCACTTCCCTCAAGGAACTCTAGTTAAGAAAGAACATCTACAACATAGTATAAGTGTCTATGTTCCTGGCCCCATTCCTTATGGCAACAAATGACTTTGGGCCCAGGGCACTGGGTTATGTTTCCAGGATGATAATACTCATCTTTTCAGTTTCAGAATCGAAAGTGGGCGTGTTCCCTCAGCACACACACTCCCACACCTTCCAAGCCTTTTTGCCTTGAGCCTTTTGGGGATTGGGAACGTAGATCTGCTTTGTAGTTTGCCACCGGGATTCCAGACTCAGTGGACTCCTCTATCCTTTCAGCCTCCCCCACCTAAGAAGAATATGCCTCAAACCAAGGAAGGGAGTGGTGGCAGGAAGGAAGTGAGGGCTGTGTTAATCACTAAACCAGGTGGTTTTGCAACTTTCTTAGGGGAGAGGGTGGAGCCAAGGAAGATGGCCTACTCAGTACAGCCAGGGCTGGGTGTTGTGTAAGGTGGAGTTAAAGACAGACAAACATATAAGGTTAAACTGAAAAGGAAATAGGGAAGGGGGTGGACCTAGACATAGTGATCGTGGGTTTGTTTTGAGTACTCACCTTAGGGCAGCACTGTGAAAGCAATTTATATGTATAATATTCAATTCTGCCATCAACCCCAGGAGTTACTATTATCTTAATAGGGGAAAGGGAGTTCTGTAAACTGAGGCTCCAGAGTTTAAGTGATTTGCCCATATCTAGTAAGTGGAAAGGCCAAGATGGGGGCATGATTCCAGAGTCCTTGATCTTAACCATTATAGAGAAAGCTCCAGAAGTGAGAGACACTAACCCTCTCCTGTATCAGTCTTACTCTCCTTCCTGTTATAAGTATTAAATATCTATTTGCTAGATACTGAGAAATCTAGATAAGTAAGGCAAGTACCCAATCCTCAGGGAGCTCACAATTTAGAAAGAGGCATAGGTAGATAAATACAAAATAATAAAACAGTAACAGAAGTTGTAAGTGCTTAGGATGGGGTGATTAATTTGATTAATAAGATGAAGTAGATGTGATTGTCACAAAGAATATAAATTATGAATTGAGTTTTTTAGATAGTGGCCTGACAACCAAGGTGGGGAAGAACATTCCAGAAAGAGGGCACAGCATCTACAATAAGCAGAAATATGGTTTATTCAGGAAACCAATAAAGTGTTGGGGGAGGGCAGGAGAGAGACCTACAGGAAGAAGTAACTATGAGAGCTGAGGCTTAGTGAGTGGTGCAGGCATGCTAGAGCTTGAACTGTAACTTACAAAAACATATGTAATAACAATTTGTTGAGAAGATAAATGGAGAATCATTAGAAGGTTTTAAGTAGCAGCATGGTAGGCAGACCATGTGAGAAACAATCAGGGCCTGGGCTGAAGTTATGGCAATGAGACTAGAAAGCATGGGATGATTTTCAGAGATGGGCATGTTGAGGGATTCAATGAAGGAGGTGAGAGAGAAGGAATTGAGGGCAGGAAACTCCTGATATTCCACCTTGACCTAGGGTTGGTGGTACCTCCTTCCAAAATGGGTTACAGTAGAGGAGGCAGGACTTTCTTATTTGTTTATGTGAGTGACCCCTATGAAAACAGGTACTGTACATTTTTCATTTCCTTGTCCTTTTCATTAGTGCCGAGACAGGAATAATATTTAGCTCTCGGGTTCCCAGTGGAGAGGAAATAAACATGGACAGCACTAATTTTTAGCTGAGTTTTAAATGCATTTTATCAGGGCTTCTTAAAATAGGGCCCTCATAAGAGAGGAGTCTCCTACCCACCTCTCTGACCTCATCTATTCTAGAGCAGCCTGGGCTGTGGCTGGAAGAGAGTTTCTCAAGTGAAAAATGTCTTTAAGGCTCATGTTACTGGGTGTATCTTTAAAAGCCATGCACGTTTTACTTTTTGTTGTTGTTGTGAATCCTCACTGAGGATATTTTTTTCCCATTGATTTATAGAAAGAGTAAAAGGGAAAAGAAGAAGAAGCAGGAGGAGGAAGAGGAGGGAAAAATATTAGTTGGTTGCCTCCCGTATGCACCCCAACCTGGGGCCATGTAACCCTGTCCTACCCACTTTGGCTCAGTGGATAGAGTGTCATTCTGTGGCCTGAAGGGTCCTAGGTTTGATTCTGATCAAGAGCACATGCCCAGGTTGTGGGCTGGATTCCCAGCAGGGTGTGCAGGAGGCATCCCATCAATGGTTCTGTCTCATCATTGATGTTTCTGTCTCTCTTTCTCCCTCTCCCTTCCTCTCTGAAATCAATAAAAATATATATATATTTATTTAAAAACAAACAAACAAAAACAAAAATCCTGTAACCCAGGTACGTACCCTGACCGGGAATCAAACATGTGACCTTTCATTGTGCAGTCCATGCTCTATCCACTGAACCACACTGACTTGTGTATTAATTGTTGTTTTAATATAATAGTTTCCTCATCCCCCTGCAAAGAACAGTGTAAATAACTATGTCATTCCAGGAACATATACCTTATTTATTTGGGGCTTTATATATATCCTCTAGCACTGCTACATATCCTTAAGAGTATCCAATGTGGCCAAAGCCGGTTTGGCTCAGTGGTAGAGCATTGGTCTGCGGACTGAAAGATCCCAGGTTCGATTCCGGTCAAGGGCATGTACATTGGTTGCGGGCACATCCCCAGTAGGGGGTGTGCAAGAGGCAGCTGGTCGATGTTTCTTTCTCATCGACGTTTCTAGCTCTCTATCTCTCTCCCTTCCTCTCTGTTAAAAATCAATAAAATATATATTTTTTTAAAAAAGGGTATCCAATGTGAAAAGAGCTATAAAATATGATGATGTATTCAACAATGTGCTCTGTATCTAATTCTCTTGGGCTGATATGAGTACAATAACCCTTTAGTAGTATCTGAAACTCTGTGAGAAGCCAGGGTCATGTGATGCCAGCAGATAAGAGAGACTTGACTATACTGTATATAACCTTATGGGCCTCTCTGACTTATATCCCCAGGTACTGCAGAAGTTGGGGAAAACTGTGGAAACCAAAGATGAACGGTTTGAACAAAGTGCCAACAACTTTTACAATCAACAGGTAATCTGGAGGGTGGGAAAGGGAAGTTTGGAGGGCTGAGTGGAAGAGGAACAGCACGTTCTTCATGTAGAAAATGTATGTTAACAAGTAGATAACAGAAGTTTAACCTTCCATGGGGTATTTGATTTTTCATCTCCATGTGCCAGGTATCACGTACAGTGCTTTACACACATCTCGTTTAATTCTTACATCAGTTTTGAAGATTGTGACTCTCTCTTTTAATAGAAGGGAGTTATTAACTTAAACAAATTTTGGGCTTCTTATTAGCTGCTCAGCTTCCATAATTTGCTAGAATGATTCACAGAATTTAGGAAAGTGTTCTATGTATAATTACAATGTTATTATAAAGAATACAAGTCAAGACCAGCCAAATGAAGACACGTGGTGAGGTCTGGGAAGGTCCCAAATATGAAGCTTCTGTATCCATAAGACATATCTCCCTCCCAACAAACAGATTTAGAATTACCAACCAAAGAATCTCACCTGAGCTTCAGGTGTCTATACAGTTTTTATTGTGATTTCATTGCATAGTGAATCATTGGCCATGTGATTGAACTTAAATCTCTAGTGTCCCTCTCCTACCCTGGGCTGATGTCACTTGCCACAGAGCACTAACTCTCTAATTCATGGTTCATCTTTCCAGCCTGAACTGCTACCATCTGAGAGGCCCACTATTAATAATAAAAACAGCTGAAACCGGTTTGGCTCAGTGGTAGAGTGTTGGTCTGTGGACTGAAAGGTCCCAGGTTCGATTCCGGCCAAGGGAATGTTCATTGGTTGCGGGCACATCCCCGGCAGATGAGGATGTTTCTGAGGCAGTTGGTCGATGTTTCTCTCTCATCGACGTTTCTAGCTCTCTATCTCTCTTCCTTCCTCTTTGTAAAAAATCAATAAAATATATTTTTTAAAAATAAAATAATAATAATAATAATAATAATAATAATAAAAACACTCCTATCACTCAGGAAATCCGAAATATTTGGAATTTACTTCACAGGAACCAGGGACAAAAAACAGCCAAAATATTTTTTAAATACATTTTTATTGATTTCAGAGAGGAAGGAAGAGGGCGATAGAGATAGAAGCATCAATGATGAGAGAGAATCATTGATCGAATGATGAGAGAGAATCATTGACCTTCATGCTCCCCACTAGGGATCAGGGCCACATATGCCCTTTACTGGAATTGAACCTGTGACTCTTCAGTCTACAGCCTGAACGACATTGTATCTACTGAGCCAAACCAGCTAGGGCATAGCCAACATTTTATTGTTCAACATCAGTCAGTCAAGTTATCCTATATAATAAAAGGGTAATAAACAAATTGACCAACGGCAGAACAACTAGTCACTATGACATGCACTGCCGTGGAGGCGAGAGAGGCTCCCACCTCTGCTGCTGCACTCACCAGCCATGAGCCCAGCTTCCGGCTGAGCGGCTCTCCTTTTATGGGAGCGCACTGACCACCAGGGGGAGCTCCTGCGTTGAGTATCTGCCCCCTGATGGTCAGTGCACATCATAGCGACTGGTTGTTCTGATCGTTCCACTGTAACAGTCGCTTAGGCTTTTATTATATAAATATGTATAAAAAGCCCATGGACACAGACATTAGTGAGGTAAAGGTCTGGGGTAAGGCGGGAACCGGGTGTAGAAGGGCAAAGGGAGTAAAATGGGGAACATTTGTAATGCTCTAAACAATAAAAGTAAATTTTTTAAAAATTACATCATCGACCTCTAAAGATAAGGACTCTTAAAATATAATCACCTACCTGGCTGGTGTTTCTCTGGTTAGAGTGTCAGCCTGAGCACGGAAGGGTCTCAGGTTGGATTCCTGGTCAAGAGCAGGTACCTGGGTTGCAGGTTCGCTCCCTGCCCCCGATTGGGGCATGCGTGGGAGGCAACCAGTCAATATGGCTCTCTTGCATCAATGTTTCTCTCCCCCCTCTCTCTTTCTCCCTCTCCCTCCCTTCCACTCTCTCTTTAAAAAAAAAAAAAAAAAAAAAAAATATATATATATATATATATATATATATATATATATATATATATATATATATATCCATCCATCCAGTGGTATACAATCACCTAAAATATTTTATTTGCACCTAAAAATATTTTTCTGTAAACATTTACTCACAACAAATCAGAAAATACATCAATAAAAATATTAATTTAAAATAATTATTTTTATATTGTGTTTTATATTCTTACAGTTACTTTGCTATATATGTGTATGATCTCTAAATATATCCACTATAAAGAAAAGAGATTTGCAAAAGTGAAATTATTTCATTTATATGGCTTTATAACTTGCCTTTTTCACTTAACAGAATAACACAAATGTCTTTTTTTTTTAGAAATTTATTTTTTTATATATTTTATTTATTTTTTTTTTAATATATTTTTTATTGATTTCTTACAGAGAGGAAGAGAGAGGGATAGAGAGTTAGAAACATCGATGAGAGAGAATCATCGATCAGCTGCCTCTTGCACACCCCCTTCTAGGGGTGTGCCCGCAACCAAGGTACATGCCCTTGACCGGAATTGAACCCGGGACCCTTCAGTCCGCAGGCTGAGGCTCTATCCACTGAGCCAAACCGGTTTCAGCATACAAATATCTTTTCAGATAGTTCATGTTGACTATCCCACTAAAACATATGTTTAAAAAAAGATGTCTTAGTGACATTTAAAAATATTAGCAATAACTTCTTACTATCATAAAATATCCAGTCAGCGTTCACACTCTCTTAATTATGTCTTTTTTATAGTTTGTTTACATCAGCAACTGGTTGACAAGTTTAAATCTCTTAAAGTTAAATCCCTTAATCTGTGGGTTTCTAATCCCTCTGTAGATTATTTGCTGGTGATACTAAATTGTTTTCCTATAGTCTAAATTTTGCTGATTGAATCCCCATGGTATGTTTAACACGTTCCTCTATCACTTGTATTTTCTGAAAATTAATAGTTAGATTTAGAGCCTTGATGAGATTCATATTTTTGTTTCTGTTTCTTTTGGTTGGTGGTGAGAATATTTATTACTGTAGGTGTTCTGTTCTCCCAGCTGGAGGCACATCATTATAGTTGTCTCCTTTTTTATGTGATATAAACAGCCATAGGTGATCATTAACTAGAGAATCTGTGTTTTACATTAAGCTCTCTTAAGTAATTACGATGTAGCAGCTAGTTTGAGAACAGCATTTGGCAACCACTGATGTAGTCTAACTCCTTTGAGGGGAAATAGGATCTGATTGAGAGCGAAATTATTTCATCAAGGTAACATAGCATAATAGTTGCAGGATTAAAAATTAAACCCTGTGCTTTTCCCCCTGTACCTCAATAGGAGGCGTCCCTGGGCCTCTTCTCAACTCCAGTTATTGTTCTACTTTCTACTCCAGGATAAAAGGACCAGGAATCAGTAAGGTGACACCCACTTTGAAAGGTTTCCAGCTCTTGGCCCATTCTGTCCCTCAGTCCTTTCTCTCCCTCTCTGCCTTGTAAGGTAGTGCTGCAATGGCTGGTGTGTGGGCAGAAAGGATAAGAGATGGGATCATCAAGAAGAAAAAGAGTATCTGATGGGACAATTCCCTCAGAATTCTCTCTGTGAGCCCACCAACTAAATGTCACTTGAGGGGGGGAATATTTTTGAGAAATGGAGTTAGATTAGGAACAAGGAAAACCTTTTCTCCTGAGAGAATGCTGCATCTATAGTAACTCGTGTTTGAGCATGCTTGGAAAGTTCATTTAACAAACATTTATTTCATGAGTGCCTGCTGCATGCGGGTACTGGGCTGGATGCTGGCATTTCACAGATAAGAAACATACCTGCCCTCTAGGCTCTCACAGTTTAAAAAGAAAGAGAGTGATCATACAGTCAGGTCTGAAGCTGGACCTGGGGTGGCTAAGACAAACAGGAGGAAAACGGACAAGGCCAGAGATTGAAAGATAAGTATTCCAGAAATTGGACCAGTTGGTCATGTGCCCTTTTCCTCATCCATAGTCAACTTGTAGGTAAACTTTTTGTTAATAAATAATTATCACTCCCAAACTTTCCAACTTGATTTCAAGGCCTTGCACTTGCCTATGTTCCTAATCAAATTTCCATAGGTAATTTTTCTTTGAGTGCTCTACTTGCTTCCCTCTTTTCCCTCTCTCCAAAACATATTATATAGGAAGAATTCTTTTTCCCAAGCAGTACTTTAACGCCTTCTTTCTGGTAATGAGAGCTGCTTCTAAATCATTGCCTTTAAAATCCAGTCAAACAATCTAGCTTTACCTTCCCCCTTGTGGACCTCCCTTAGATCAAACACTGTCAGCACTTGCTCAGGGCTAGTCATGCTGTTTCCTTATTTTGCTGAATGTCTGGGTTTCTCTGGTCCATTTTTCTCCAGCAAGTAGGGAACCCCGGGACTGGGGCCTTCTTTATCCTCACTCGCCCGTCTCCTATAGAACACAGCTCTATTTACCTACCTGAGTGCCTAGGAGAAGCTTCCAGAGTGAGTGGTTCATTAACTGAGGGCTGGGACTGTTTGTATAAGGGATGGGAGGGACTAACTCAGACTGTTTATAGAGCTGCCAAGAATTGGACAGGGCTTCAGAGAGCAGAAGTGACACAAAGATTTAGAGCTGGACATCGCCTTACCCAGCATTTACAGATGAGGAAACTAAAGCCAGCGAAGCAGAATAACTTGCTCGTTGGTGGCAGAGACAAGTATTTGACTCCCAAACAAGTGAGAATTTGGGGTGATTTAGCCTGGAGACATTTCAGGGAAGACAGGTCAGAGAAATAGAAAGACATTCAGCACAGGCACTGGGGCAGGAGGGGCTTGCGGTGGGGGCTTGCCTGAGGTGGGAATGGCTGGGGAGTGACTGGGGAGGGGGGTGTCAATTGGAAAAGAAGACATATGGAAAACTTTAAACAATAATTTTTTTTAATGACATTCAGTGCTTTTCGCCACCCCGCATCCTACTACTACTACTACATTTCCTCAAAGGAAGGAACAAGAGTGTAAAGGAAGAACTTTGAGGAGGCTTGATTCTAAAACACAAAAATAGATTAGGACTTTTGTGAGGTGTGATGGAGGGCAAAGGCGTTCACATTTTATGGACTATGGTATAAATAGTTCCCCCTAGTACTGAACAGTGTGCATACAACCTGCACAATCATACATGGTAGCCTGATTATTGACCTGGTTTTTCAGGCCATATAATATCCAATGGGATAAAAATTAAGAATTTTATTTATAGAAATTATGTAAGATTTTGTTCTTCACATATGTATTTTTCAGACCTCATGGTGAAGTAAAGAGTTGAGTCAGAGTTGTTTTCTTTCAAAAAATAAATTTAAATTCTTGTTAATTTTTATAATCCGTAAAACTCTTTCAGAATTTTTTAAAACCTGGGTTATCACATTTGCAAAACTCTCAAACTTATACTTACCTACCATAGCCATGTTTAAAAGGTATGATGGTTGGTGGGTGAGAAGAGATCAACCAAATAACTCATATGCATATATGCATAACTCATGGACACAGACAGTAGGGTGATGAAAGCCTAGGATGGGGGTGGGGGTGGGCTAGCAAGGGTCAGTGGGAGGAAAAGGGAACATATGTAATACTTTCAACAATAAAGATTTTTAAACAAATATGTATATTTAACATGTTAGACTTAATGAAAAAACAAGGAGGAAGTGAGACTCCTTTCTGGTGAGTGCTGAGTGCTTGAATTTTTTTTAACATACCAAATTTGTCTCCATAATGCTATTGAAACACGTTCTCACGGTCAATAGTGACCTCCCATTACCAAGTCCAATAACTTTTACATATTCTTCCTGCATTCTAACCACTCTGTGGCATCTGACTCTTTTTTTGGTCATTTCTCTGATGCTGTCTTTATTCTCATTTGCTATGACACACTGCACAATCCCGTTCTTCCCCCTCTCTGACAGGATGTTAGGCCACCTTGAGACTATCTTGGTTTCCATGTCCCTTGAGCCTGATATTTAGCCCCTTGAGGAGGACTATTAACCTGAAATAAGGAGAAAAGTTTGGACTGGCTTAGAAGAGAGCTCTGGAGGGAAGAAGATAAATGAAATAATTAGTCCAGTTTTCTTTATTTGACTGAGTAGATCTAGATTTTCTGCTAAAATTAAACAACAATGATCTTTCCTTCAAAGTTGTACACAAAATTTTCATTTAAATTGTTAGATAGAATTTTCTAGTTTTCTATAAATTTTTTTTATATGTTTGGCATGCTCAATAGCCTACCCAGGAATGAGCACAAGCAAATAAAACAAATGAACTAGTTCACAAGAATGTACTGAATAATGCATCTTAGCTCAGATACTTCATCACCTGAACTGGTAGGAGAATCACTCTTCTGACCCATGGGCCTCGCCCTTTAAAGTTGGCTGCCATTTCAGTCCAATCCCATACTCCTAAAGTCAGGCTCTAAAATGTCAGTGGTCTGGTCTCAGACTTCCTTCTTATCTAACTCCTAAAAACTGAAGTTCGCACAGAAGGGAAAGGGTCTCTAAAAAACATCCTGAGGAACAATTGAGGAAGCCTGTGAAAAAGACTTGGTACAGGGCATGTGAAACATCTCTTTAAACATATATGCAAGAGAAAGTATATCTGCCAAGAGTACAGAAGGCCAATGTAAGACCAGCGGGCAAAAGTTCTGATTGAGCTATTTTAAAATGAAGTTCATTCTCAACAAAAGGTTTATGTGAGTTTCTGGTTGCCTCAAGAAGCAGAGGCCAAGTGAACATTTGTCAGAGCTATAACAAAAGTAGCTCATCAGTTGAGAGTTGAATTGTCAAACCTAAATGATACCTTCATCTCCTTCCTCCCTTCTATTTTAGAGGGAAGAGACCTACTCTGTGCTTGGGAATCCTAGCATACAAAGTGAAAATTCAGACAAAGTGAGAATTCAGACAAAGTGAGAATTCAGGTGCAAAGATCAGATCAGGCAAATAGATAGAAGACCCTGGAGTTGGAACAAGAGAGTCAATGATGAGGCTCCTTGGAAGAAAAGTATAAAGCAGTGGCTGATGGAAGGGAAGGATAAAGTGGGCCAAGGCAGAAAAAGACATTAGGGGAGGAGAAGAATGCCTGTGTGAGGGAGCAGAGAAGGAAGAGGGTCTGGTGTCTGCAGAAGATGGTAGCAGTTTACACAGAAAGGAAGACATAAGCCAGATGATCACTGAATTTCAACAAAGAAACTTAGGTATAGGCACTTGTCCACTGGAAGGAAGAACATAGGAAAGAAGACAAACCAACTTAAAAATTGCCCCAAAGAGACAACCTACGACTTCTTGGTGAAGAGAGTAAAAGCTAATTTACATTTGCAAGTGTTAGAAGTAGTTCAAGGATTTATCTCTGTTTTTAAGCTACTTTTATACTTTGACATCTGCAGCGTCTTTCCAAATATATCTGTATAGTCACTAAAGGTGTTTCTCTCTTTCAGGCAGAGGGTCTCAAGCTATACAAGGAGCTGAAGAACTTCCTTAGTGCAGTCAAAGGTGGGTATTGTAGCACTGGAGAAAATCCAGAGGCTTTTATATAGCTCTGGGGGATGGGGAAAAAACCCAGCCTGTGTGCCTCTGGCTCCTGAAACTTGGTGGGCAAGGAAGAGAAACTTTTTCTATCCCAGCCCCAGCCAGTTTCCCTCACTGATAATCCAATGCTTCTCAGTTTATCCCCCTGATATGCCTGTCACCCATATGATTATTCCAAACTACTTTTGGGAAACTTTATGGAGCTCTCTCCTTTCAGTAATGCATGAAAGCTCAAAGAGAGTGTCAGAAACCCTGCAGGAGATCTACAGCACTGAGTGGGACGGTCATGAGGAGCTGAAGGCCATTATAGGGGTAAGTGTTCTGAGCTTAACAACTCTTCCCAACTCACTCCTGCCCTCATTTCAGCATCACTCTAACATCTCCATCAAGTAAATAGGAAAACAAAGGAGCCAGGCCTAGCCTGTTTGGCTCAGTAGATAGAGCATCGGCCTGCGGACTGAATGGCCTCGGGTTCAATTTCAGTCAAGGGCATGAGCCAGTTCACACTGTTCATTTGTATAGTCTCAGTCACATGTAGAAAAAAAAAAAAAAAACTGCAACCATGAAGGTAAAAACAAGTTTTCCCTACTCTGTGGACTCTGTTTTTGACCCTCTTCCCCTTTTTAAAACCTTATGGAAGGTTTCATGAAACCTAACTTCATGTAATTATTTACTCCCAAACTTACCTATCCTTAAAGCACTAGAGTCCAATACTCTGACCATCTATTCCCATTTTTAATCCCTGAATGTATGTCTAACCTCTTATAGGGCAGTTCCTTGGGGAAGGGCTGTTTCTTCACCTGATTCTTCCCAGTGCTCAAACAAGGAAGTCTGTTGCAGGAAGACTTTGGGTATTTCCTGGTATGCAGTTGTTGAGAAGTGGAGCCCTCACAACTCCCCTTTGCCTCTGGCCCACAGAATAATGATCTCCTTTGGGAAGACTATGAAGAGAAACTAGCTGACCAGGCTTTGAGGACCATGGAAAACTATGTAGCCCAGTTTGGTGAAATTAAGGTACTCACTCGATTCACAGAATCAAGGATGGGTTATGAGTGGCCCATATAAGAGACCATATTAGGTTAAACTTATAAGTAGAGTTAGAGCCTGTGGTTAGGAACACAGTTGAATAGGTTAGGAGAAGGATTAAATGAGGGTTAGTCAGGACGTTAAGATGGAGAGTTAAAGGTAGGGTGGAGGTTATGTTTAGACTTAGATTTCAGTGAACTAGATTTGGACTGATTTTAAACTAGATTCAGGTGAGAACATCCCTTTTAGTTGTTTGAAACAGCTAATGAGACTAAAAGATGTTTACTGTAGAGAAGCAAAAGGAGTCATAATAGTTATCTGCAAATATTAGAAAGTCTGTTCGTTTAAAAAGGAAGTGAACCTGTTCTAAACAGTTCTAGAAAGCAGAATTAGGATTCATTCAATTCATATCACCTAGTCTGTCAGGCACTGACTTTAGATTAATAGGAAGATGAGAGGGAGCCTTAATTTTCCCATAGAGCTTTCCCAAAACGAAGTAAAATGGAATCCTACCTAATAAAAGTAATATGCAAATTAACTACCACTCTGCTATGCCCACAAGCCAATCAGAGTGAGTATGCAAATTAATCCAAACCAAGATGGCTGCTGCCACAGAGAGTAGGAGGGAGGCTTGGGTTTCTCTGGCAAAGGAGAAAGCCACGCTTTCCACATACCCTGGCTGGCCCAGGCCTCCACTCAAGGATACAAAGTTTCAATTATAGAAGGTAAACAAATCCAAACAGAAATGGCAGCAGCCACGGGAGCAAGCAGAAGGCTTGGCTCTGCTCCAGGCTAAAAAGTTTCAATTGTAGAAGGTAAATAAATTCCAGATGCCAGAGCCTCTGCTTGAGTCGCCAGGTGGCATGGCCAGCCTGCAAACCACCACAGGCCCCTCACCAGGCCGCCCCATGCCCCAAGGGAACCCCCACCCTGATCTGGGAAACCCTTCAGGGCAAACCAGCTGGCTTCTCCCATGCACCAGGCCTCTATCCTATCTAATAAGAGTAATATTCAGATTGACCATCACTCCAACACACAAGATGGCTGCCCCATATCAAAGATCCTGTGCCCATGTGGACACAAGATGGCCACCACAATATGGCCAGCAGGGAAGAGCAGTTGGGAGGCAACAGGCCTGCAAGGGAGGACAGTTGAGAGCAATCAACCTTGCAGGGGAGGGTAGTTAGAGGTGACCAGGCCGGCAGGGGAGGGAAGTTGGGGGCAAATAGGCTGGCAGGGGAGTAGACATCAATCAGGCTGGCATGGGAGTGGTTAGGGGTGATCAGGCTGGCAGGCAGAAGCAGTTAGAGACAATCACGAAGGCAGGCAGGCGAGCAGTTGGGAGCCAGCAGTCCTGGATTGTGAGAAGGATGTCCACCTGCCAGTCTAGGCCCAGTCCCACCGTGATCAGATCTAAACGGGCAGTTGGACATCCCTCAAGGGGTCCCAAATTGGAGAGGATGCAGGCTGGGCTGAAGGACACCACTATTTCCTCCCCTGCAGTGAACCGGGTCTCTAGTATACTATAAGATAGTGGGTTGTCTATTCTCTGTTCATACAGCAGTTGAACTACTTCTTAATTTAGATATTGTAGAGATAGTTCATGTTTTGCATAGAAGCGTGGACCAATTAACTGCTAAGATCCTTTCAAATTCTGTGATTGAAAGAATGAGACATGAGATGGAAGAGATTCTCTCTCAGTGGTCATAATATTTTTATTGTGCTTTAGGATTTTCAAAGCACTTTATATTTTGCATTTGATCTTTAAAATAACACCAAAAGACAAATGAGGCTATTGAAGCTTCAAAGGAGATGGACCTTGCCCTAGGTCACAAGGCTGATAGATGGCAGTGTTGGGTGTAAAATCCAAAACTCCTGTCTTTCAACTTCATAGGATTCTCAAGACCACTTATCCCAGAGGCTGAACTAGTTTATAGTGAGTTTGTAGGAAATGTTCATATTTAATGCAGGCTTCCAAGTGTTGGATTGCCTTTGTTTCCCCCTGAAAATTCCCATTCTTTTCCAAGTAAGGACGATCCCTTGGGTACAAAACCATATTAGAACTTGAAATTTGATAATAGGACCCAGGAATCTTGCCTCTGTTTGATACTCTGTTACCTACTTCCTGGCCACTGAAGAATATCAAGGTTTTTTCTCATGATTCTGGGTTAGGAAAGAATTGCCAAGCGGGGTCGGAAACTCGTGGATTATGACAGTGCCCGGCACCACCTGGAGGCCGTGCAGAATGCCAAGAAGAAAGATGAGGCCAAGATTGCCAAGGTAAAAAAAAAAAAAAAAGACCTAGTAAAGCCTCCCCATCGTGCTAGGTTTAGGAAATGATAAATTCAACATCCAGTGTCCCGAAGGAAGTCCCTGTTTCCTTTGACACGGATGCTCTAAGGATAGCCAGAGAGTCAAGGCTGGGGAGGGCAGGGGTCTGAGAAGAGAGGCATGATTCCAAGTAAGCCTCGTCCCTGACAGGATAAAAGCAGCGGCGTCTATCCTGGGGGTCAGGATTGAGGGGAACTGTCCTGTCTCTCTTACCAACCAGGCAGATGAAGAGTTCACCAAAGCCCAGCTTGTGTTTGAAGATCTGAACCAAGAACTACTAGAGGAGCTGCCTGTTCTTTATAATAGGTAATGACTAAGATTCTGGAAAGTGCTGTCACCTCATGAAAAAAGCATCCAAGAGTAGGTTGTAGCCTCAGCCTGCCTACTAACTTGCTTTGTGATATTAGGCAATATTATCTCGCTAAACACTGGTTTCTTCATATGCAATACAGAGATAACCATCCTTGCCCAGCCAGCTTTTCTAGCTTTGAAAACAAGATGCTTGCTGAATAGGAGAGAGTTTGCAAGTAAAGTGCTGTCATCATGCATAGTAAGAGTATCTGGTTTCATGCCACAAAGATGTATTGTTTTAAACAAGCGTGGTTTATGACCATCCAGATTTACGTAGATAAATCATGGGATGATTATTTCCATTAATGAAGATGTCTGTGCTTCACAGTAGGTAAAAGTGCTTTAGATGTAAATTTTTGACACTGGAAGAGGAATCTGAGTAGGAATTCTATTTGTATCCTATTTTCTTTTCACTGTATAAGCTATGTTTTAATACAGTTGCAACAATTGTATTTCATATTGTCATTTAATATTAGTTTACTTGTGATGGAACCTTTTAAATAACTACATGTATTCTAAAACATTATATGACTTAATTTAAATAGAAGTGAAATTTAATAGTTTCTTGAAATGTAAATTTTCCCAATTCATTTCCAGTAGAATTCCATTAATGTACATATAGCTTCATAGAAGTTCAATATTGCATAACGAGAAAGAATACTTATTATAATTGTATGGCCCTATACTTATTTTTATTTGCATATAATATTTTCCCTTTTTTTGGTATGTCCTTATATTTATATAGCACTTTAAAAATGCTTCAAAGTACTATAATGTCTGCTTCAATACCTAAAGAGCCTGAATCAGATAACTCCGTGCAGCTTGAGATCTGTTACACTTTGGTGTCAGCCTGGTCTAGTGTCTCCTCTGGCCATCACACTCCTGAGAGTCAAGTGTGCTCCTGGACTGGCTCTGATGAATCAGATCCCAAAACATCCTGAGTCTTAGGATGTGGGTGCTTTTCTCTGAGGATCCTTGGAAGTGGCTGGCTTTGGCTCAAGCTCTTACCTTGTGTTTAAAAAAAAAACAAAAAACTTTCTTTACCTACCCTTCACCTGTATGTTTGTTGTTTTGCCCCGATAGTCGTATTGGCTGTTATGTGACCATCTTTCAAAACATTTCCAACTTGAAGGACGTCTTCTACAGGGAGATGAGCAAGGTGAGACATAGGTGGTCAATTTAGACATCTCAGTGGATTTTTCTAGTAAATATGAAAGTAGTCCTAATTCATATAATCATTAAGTATCTATATCAGCACTACAGATTTTTACCTTTTTCTCATAAAACAAAAGCACTTAATTAACTGTGTTGACCATATTAAATCATATATATATACGTATCAGAGGGTCCTTTCCATTTCTGTTAAGTGAATAATAGGATTGAAACTTGAACTTCAGATGAATAAAGGAGGTTGGGCCTACGGAAGGAACAGCTGAAATGGGGAACTAAGTTGTGAAATATCTTTCTTTGATTGCTACAGAACCAAGAGGACAGTGTTTAAGCACGAGTCAGTTTCTCTGGTAGTTCAGTCTTGAATAGGGCCAATCCTACTCAGTGACTGGAATACACAGAACCTGACCTCATGGGGTCTTTTCTAGTCCTGGGATTCCAAGACTCACTATCATCAACTACATTCACATCCACATGCGTACATGTTCCCCTCCACAGTTATTTTGGCTAAATTGTGATTTGCCTAGTTAATATTACAGTGAGTTTTCATTCCTTGGATGAATTGAGAAGCTAGAATCTCAAACATCAAGCCCCCAGCCTTGAAAGCTGCCAGTCTGGTGGAAGGGGCAGCACTTAAGAAGGAAGTCAAGGAAAAAGGTGTGGTGGGACAGGACCTGCCAAAGAAGTGAAGGGTGGGAAGGTTTTATTTGGGGGAGCTGTCTGAAAGAAAGTGGAGAAGGGATATGCCAGTCTCAGGTTCCATCTGGCTAGCATCTTCTTCTCTCTTGCTGGCTCTAGCTGAATCACAATCTCTACGAAGTGATGAGCAAACTGGAGAAGCAACATTCCAACAAAGTCTTTGTGGTGAAAGGACTATCAAGGTGAGCAATTTCTGAGACTCTTTCCTGTTTCACTTGTCCGGTATGTGAACATATTCAACAGTCTCGTCTTCCATCCCAAATCCTGGCCATTCCTGTGTGCTTATGTGCATGATATTGTCTGTGGTTACACCCCTATATAAATTCTTTTACCTGTTATGAAATATTTCAGCTATAACTGTAGTAAAAAAAGTAAGAAACAAATAGCCACATACCTATCACCAAACTTAAGAAAACAACTATCTATATATAAAAAGGTTAATATGCAAAGTGTCTCCATGGGAGTTTTGACTGGGAGACCATGAGTTCTATCACTCGCTATGATGTACACTGACCACCAGGGGTGGCCCGGAACGAAGGAAGGCCCAGGCCAGCAGCTGGGAGGCCTCAATTGCCCCAATCACCGGCTAGGCCTAGGGACCCTACCCATGAGAATTTCATACACCAGGCCTCTAGTTATATATAAAACTGAAGTTCCCAGTATCCCTTCCCCACTCATTTTCCACCAAAGGTAATCACTATCTTAAATTTAGTATTTATTATCCCCCTGCATTCTTTTTCTTTTATTTTACACACATATACACACAGAAAATATTGTTTTGCATGTTTTGAAGTATGCTGTATTTTTTGAAACTTGTTTTGTTTTGAGTATTGTTTGTGAGATTTATTTATTCTTGTTCTTACATGTTGCTAGCTCTGTTCTTTCCATACTGTTATGGATGCTGTTGTATGGCTATTCACAATTTATCTCTCCTCCTGATAATGAGTATTTGGATTGTTTTCTAGTTTTTGCTATTACAAATAATGTTACAGTGAACACATTTTACATTTCTCCTTGTGAATATTATCAGGAGTTTCCTCAGGGTGTGTACAGGGAGTGGCACTGCTGAGCCACAGAGTCTGCATTTGGGCTTCTACAGCCTTACTGGATACTGCCATTGCCAAATTGTTCTTTAGAGGGATCGTTTCCATTTACAATCCACCAACAGTAACTAAAAGTCCCCATTGCTCCATTTTCTTGCCATATGTAACATTGTCATACTTCATTGTCAACCTCTGGGTATGAAATACACTTTTCTTGCAGTTTTAATTCAGATCTCCACAGTTGCTAATGAGCTTGAACATCTTTTCATATTATTAGCCATTTAAGATTCCTGTTCTGTAAGTCTCCTGTTTATCCTTTTTTCATTTGGATTGTTTACTCTTTATATTGATTTTTTAATTTTTTTTTAATTTTTTTTTTTAAAAGAGAGAGAAAGGGAGAGGGAGAAAGAGGTAGAAACATCAATGATGAGAGAACCATTGACTGGTTGCCTCCTGCACGGCCCCTACTGGAGATTGAGCTGTAACCCGGGCATGTGCCCTGACCAGGAATCAAACCTGTGACCTATTGGTTCATGGATCAAAGCTCAATCACTGAGCCACACCAGCCGAGCTCTATACCCTTTGAAAAATATTTTAGTTATATGAACTTTTGGGGGGTTAAAAAATATTCTGGATATTAATTATTTAATGATATGCATTGCAAATATTCTTTCTCAATCTCTTATGGATTGATTTTCTACTTTTTTTTCTTTTTTATTTTATGGTGTCAATTGCCATGATACATTCTTTATGCTGGTAAATATAAGCAATTCACTGGTCCCTCAGAATGTGATCAGTTTCTTATTTGGAAGCCTTTATTCAGGAAGTTTGATTACATTCCTTCTGTGGTCAAGTTTTATGCTGAGAATTAGGGATCCAAAGACACAGCGATTTGTTATTTCCCTGAAGTGATTTACAAAAAGTTGAAAGGACAGAAAATGTGCATATGGAGATAAGGAACAATTTAAACTTTCACACATACAAAGTGCCTAATGAGACTGGTAGGAATGCCAGAGAGATAAGTAATTGCCAATGTACAGACCGCTGGAGAAGGCTTTAAAGAGGTGATGAAATTGAGCTTGAGATTTGAAAAAGAATAGGGCTCACAACTGTTGCTTGAACTTCTCATTTAGCCATTAGTTACAAACTATTAAAAAGAATCACGAAAGAGCCAGTGTAGACTTCCTATGAGAAATCCCTTTTGATAAAAAAATTATCTTTCCAATATTGAAAACCATAGTCTTCTCTAATTGTTCATTCATCTAAGACTTACGATTACCTACATCAAGATGTCTCAGAACCTTGTAGGGAAATCTGGTGTTTCTTGCTGTGTCTTGGGCCTTCACCTACTGTCCTCTAGAATTGGAGTGCTAGAGAGAACCTATATCACTCAGCTTATGTTATATCAGAAACTCCCTTAGAAGGAACTTCCTTTTACCTCTTCCTCTCCCTATCCCCATAGCCCATCCTGTGTCAGGGCACAGCACATAGTTGACACCTGTCACGAAGATACTTGTGAGTTGCTTGATCACTTGGTGTACAGTATGTAGGAGGCACTTAAGGAGGTGAGGAGTTAAGCTAATGCTGGCTGTAGCAGCACTTAACACAGTATCCAGCCTACATGATACGTGTTACAGTTAAATTTTTTACTTATGGTGATTAAGTTCTATAAAGTCACCATAAGCACTAAATTAGTGAACACTGAGCCACTGCTCCCAGGGGAAACACATGGTTAGGCTTCTGTGAGCCCCTGGTCCCAACATTTTCATCAACTGATCAATACATAACCTTGTCTTCTGTATGTTTCTGTTTATAGACAGATTATTTAATATATGTTGTTGATTCATTAACATTGAACTCACAGCCCACAGAATTATATAACTCATGTCTGAACAAAGCTTATAACATACATATTTTCTCTGTAAGGAACATCACAGTCCTTTTGCTCTTAGCACTTTAACACTACACTTGGAGCCCATTTAAAAACAGAAAAACCATTAACAAAAGCACTGCGGTGTGAAAAATATGGCAAAAGGACGTGGTTACAATGTGAGAGGTGAAATAAGAAGGTAGCATGTTTCCTTGTTAGACCTCAGCTGAGAAAGTGTTGTCAGGCACTGATTTTTCACAACTTGCATATGTCTATGAATGACCATGAAAGCATCACAAGTATTGATTTTGGGTTACAAGTAAGTTTTAGGGAGTCGGTGAATTTGCAAATGCAGAATCCATAAAGATCAACTGCATATCATCCATGAATCTTTTCCCCAAAGAAAATACTTTGTTAGTATGTTTTTGTTACTTGCTGGTTTCCTTTTCTTTATATATTTTTAAATAATTGAGATTTTGATATAGCCTTTTACACTTTCCATAAGCATTATTGCAAATTATACAAACTTTCTAGTGTCATTTTAAATTATTTTATTCTGTTATTCTATAGCATGAATCATTATTTGGGGGTACTTAAAAATACCCAATAAAAATTCCTTTCCTTTTTTTTTTTTTTTTTTTTTTTTTTTTTGCTCTTCTGAATCTGAATGTCCTTCATTTTTTTAGCAACAGCAGACGCTCTTTAGTCATCTCGTCCCCAGTTCGAACATCTGCAGTCTCCAGCCCTCCTACCTCACCTACCAGTCCCTCTACACTTTCCTTGGCAAGTGAGAGGGACTCCATCTCAGCAAGTGAAGAAGAGCTAACATCGGATCCAGCTCGGGGAGAAGACGACTCTGAGACTAAAGAGCCCGTAAAGGAAAAGGAAATGGAGAAAAAAGAGGCTGAAGCAAACTCCTCTGAGGAGGAAGAGCCTCTGCCAGCCTGCAATGGCCCTACCCAGGCCCCGCCCTCTTCTGCCCAGCCCACCGAGGGTGTGGAGTCCCAGGAGGAAGTTCCCCCTGGCTCCCCAGATCCAACCCCAGGCACAGCCACAACCCCTTCAGAACAGCCTGCATCTCTCCCAGAAGTTGTCCTCCGAACCCGAACCTCCAGTGAAGGGTCTGAACATCAGAAGAAGAGAGCCCCCGTCCAGCGGACCTCAGCACCCCCTAACAGGCCTCCTCCGCCCAGAGCTAGAACCCCCTCGGGGAACATAGCCTCCAGTCCTGCAGCCTCTGAACCGGGCTCACCCACCAGCCCCAGGGCCTCCCTGGGGGCCGGGACTCCAAACCCTAGTTCTAGGGCCACTTTGGAGGTTTCTCTCGATCCACAGCCACCACAGAAGCCAGTAAGAACTCCTGAGGACGGAGAAAAGCAAAACGCCGCCAATCTGAACCCAGATCTTTGTACTTCCCCCACCTCGGTGATCCCTCAGGTGAGAGTGCAGCTGATACAGTCTCTATTCTCTTTTATACCCTCCCTGTAGAGTAGATCATCTTTACTCTGGCCAGGTTGTTCCACAGTTAATCAGATTTTGTCATATTACGGTCTGAAGGATACTCTTGACTACCTTTTGTTTTTGGTTTTTGTTTGTTTTGTTTGTTTGGTTGGGGGTTTTTGTGTGTGTGTGTTCTGGGGATTGTTTCACATCTCCAGAGCAATTAATTTAGTGATCTGTACTCTTAGGGTATTTGACTTCTACAAAGGGCTTATCTCTAATATTATTATGAAAAGTTCCTACTGGTTTCTTTTCTTACTACAAGTTTGGGAAGCCGATAAAGAATCTTCAGCTGACATCCTGAGCTTTAACTTTTTGAATAGGGGGTAGGAAAGAGGGTCTCACTTCAGTTGTCATACTTGTGACTGTGGTAAATAGACCTCAACCAAACTGGCAAAGAATCATTTCACTGATAAGAAATAGAAGAAGGAACTCAGAGAGGAAGGAAAGCAAAAAAGATGGGCTTTTAAAAGATGAGAGCATAGATGAGAAAAGGATTGTGTTAAAATAGAGACACAGCGCCTTTGGAGAACAAGCAGGTCTGTGAAGAATCTAGCAATCCAAATCATATTCTGTTCAGTCAGAGGCTATCATAGAGAGACCTGATGTATTCTGAGATTCCTGAGGAAAGAACTAGGCTCTATGTATAAAGATTTTTTAAGTACATTTTGAATCAATACAAGGGGAACTTTTAACAATTATCTCTGTTAAAAAAATGATATGAAAAAATATTTTTTAAATATAGGGGCACCCAGCCAGTGTGGTTCAGTGGTTTAGCATCAACCCATGAACCAGGAGGTCACAGTTGATTCTGTCAGGGTACATGCCCGGGTTGCAGCTCAATCCCCAGTAGGAGGTAGCCCATCAGTGATTCTCTCTTATCATTGATGTTTCTATGCTTCTCTTCCTCTACTTTCCTCTCTGAAATTAATATATATATATATATATATGAAAGGAGACTCAAGGGGCTTCCAAACAACAAAATGTGATGGGCCACTTTGACAAACAGTTCTCCTTCGTTGATGTTAAAAGCTAAGATTTATGATCATCTGTCAGGTTCATTATAGGGAGGATTTTGGTGAGAATCTGACTATATGGTACCAAGATTCATTCATTCATGCATTCCACAATTACTCAAATTACTTATTGAGTCCTTACTATGTACCAGGCACTTTTCTAGGAAGTGGGGTACTACAGTGAACAAAGCATAAAATTCCCTGCCTTCCTGCATCTTATATCCTAGTGGAGAAGGGGAGAAGATGAATACAAAAACAGAATAAATAAGTAAAATTATAATTAGTGGTGATAAAATATATAGAGAAAAATAAGTAGGGGAAGGCACAGGGAATTGGGGCTGAATTGCGATTTTAAACAGAGAGTGGCCAGAGAAGGTGACATTGGGGCAATGAAGGAGGCCAGGGCATGAGCCATGTGGCTCTGGGAGCATGAGATTTCTGGTACCCCTCAGATCGCACTGCCCTGTTACTGCCTGTCCATGATACCTTGGGAGCCTCCTGCTGTCTGAGAGAACGAGTTAACATGAACAATGGGTACCAGGGTGGTATCCAGGGTGAGAAGGTTTGGGACTTCCTTCTACATTGTCCTCTTTGATCTGCAGGTTTTTTCAGAATCTGACAAGGCAAGTAAGATGGAAGACAAAGAGGAGAAAAATATCTTGGCTGACTCCCCTGAGGTAAGTCATCAACATTTATTATGCCCTGAGACTTGATTCACATGAGGTATTGAAGGTCTAACAGAGCGAGATATAAAACTTTCTCTTGGCTGGTTTCTGGTGTGAGGTCCCTGTGCTGATTGACAGGGATGTGGGACATATGGATAGTGAAGAAGCACAGGGTAATTGTGGGATTTCGAAGCAAGTTTAGCCACTTCCGACATTTCTGCACTGAGAAGAGGAACTCAACAATATGGAAAATCCAAAATTAATTTACATTTGACTTTATAATATATGACTTTAGCATGGAGGCAGCAATAATGTGAGCTGTTTGGCTCCGATGACTAATAGAACAAATTTTCATTCTTGGAGTAATCTTATTGAAAGGGAGATTATGCTGCTGTCCATATTGAGGAACAGGCTAATAACACTGTTCTCCTTTGGAAAGAGGTACAGGACACCACCTCCTTTCCCCTGAGGCGACCTCCTTATATTTGAGAATTATAGTGTTATTGTTTTGTTTTTTCAGAATTATAGTGTTTACTCACAGCCTTTCCTGTGGATTGCTTTGGTCATCAACTAAGGAAACCTATTTTTCCTATGGAATTAAGCAGTTAGAGCATCTTAGATCCTAGCCTATCAGTGACATCAATCCTCTGAAGCCTTTATCCTACTCGATCTGTTTACTTCCCTTGCAGAAACATCATAAATCATATTTTCTCTCAAGTAGAATTATGGACATATCACATATAAAATGGATCACAATTAAAAAAGATCACTATGAGAAAACTTATTCTTGATTAGCATTTAAAATACTTGTGAGAGGATGATAACTTTCTGGGAGAAAGTATTACCTTTCAGGTAATTCCTGGCCTGAAATCAAAGGAGAGAATAAGGAACAATTTCCTAGAAGGAAAAATCAGAACATTTCAAGTAGCTGCATACTGATAGAAATTGGTTCTACTTTAAAAGGGTGAATGTTATGGTGTGTGAATTAAATTTCAATTAAAAACAAATTAATTCTTAATTGTCGAGTTCCAAGGTCTTCTCCTGGCTTAGCAGCTCCTAGACCAGTGGTTCTCAACCTTTACAAAGAGGCTCTACAGCAGTCTCGACCACAGGTTGAGAATTGCTATCAGGGTCGCCTAAGACCATCAGAAAACACAGATATTTACATTACGGTTCATAACAGTAGCAGAATTACAGTTATGAAGTAGCAACGAAAATCATTTTATGGTTGGGACCACCACAACATGAGGAGCTGTATTAAAGGGCCGCGGCATTAGAAAGGTTGAGAACCGCCGTCCTGGACAGAGCTTTTCACACTTGGGTTCCTACTGCAGAACCTAGAACTTTTCCCAAAGAAACCACTGTCCCACTTGCCTCTCCTAGCTGCCCTAGGCTCGGATCATCTGTGTGTTAACTGCAGTGTATTCTTGAGGACAGTCTAAAAGTGGTAGGTAGTGTTCTTAAGACCTATATTTATATCCTCACAGACTCCCACATAGACATACATACTGATGCATGTCACACAAATTATAGTGTCTGATTATGGAAACCACTTTGGAGCCCAAAGACCTGGATACCTGTCCCTGCAAGTCATTTCACCCTCTGAATCTTGGTTTTGTGACTGATGAAAGAGGATAGCAGTAAAGCCTTCAGGCTGTAGTGAACCAACATTGTATGTTCACCCTTTATATTGTCTATGACCCTGTAGAGTGGAAGGCACAGTAGACCCCCTAAGCTGAGAGGCTGGGGAGGCTGAGCCACCTCTCACTGGCAGAACTCTTCTTCTTCTTTTTTTTTTTTTTTAAATATATTTTATTGATTTTTTTGCCCCCCCCCTCCCTATCATACATACCATCCCTCCCCAGAGTTTTATGTCCATTGGTTGTACTTATATGCATGTATACAAGTCCTTCGGTTGATCTCTTATCTCCCCCAAATCTCCCTCCCCTCCCCGCTGTAATTTGACAGTCTGCTTGTTGCTTTACTGTCTCTGTATCTATCTTTTGGTTCATCAGTTTATAATAGAACTCTTCTTTTTACAGAGCCCAGGTCTCCAGCTTCATGCCTCTGTGGTTCCAGAAGACAGTAACGTCGCAGCACCTGAGCATCAAGAAGAGGTAAGGTGGACAGATACAGAGACCACGATGGGTGGTAAGATTGGTCACTGGGAGTGGACAGAAATTTGACTACAGATTAGAATCTTCACCATGGCTGCTAGGTGAACCCAGCAGTGCACAATATCCTTAGAGCAAAGTCAAGCAGATGGGAACAAGAGAACCAAGAGTAAACCGGGACACTGTGGGTTTGGGGTGTCCATTTCCCAACACTTGGCCTTGAATCTCTTGACCTCTCACCATAGCCCTCTCTTCCAAGTACTTATCTAGTTTTTCTGAACTTATTTCAAAAAGTTAAATACAAAAAGGCAAATATATATATACACACATAAAATATAGCAAAGTAACTCAGAAATAATGACAGTGACATAAAATGGAGCGATGAATTATGCAAATAGAAAAATGCATTCTATGAAATAAACTTAGTAAGGATGGATCACAAAATTGGTTCCAGACTTTTTAAACATCCAAGAAGATAAAAATCTGATCAGTTCACCCAGTTCATGATGCCATTCCTTTAAACAACTCCTGCTACTAAGATGAAAAGGAAATTTCTCCTGAGAATCTCATAAAGAGATGAAGACAGATGCAATGACCAATATCTGCAAAAAGTTTTGACAATAATCCCAACAACCAGCTTCACTTCCCTCAATAGTGCATGACATGAAATATAGTTTGATAGAAGCAAATTGAGTTTTTACCTTCCTTGAGTGGTTGGTGGGAGAACAGTGAGCATCTAATGCAATTATGTTTACTTTCCAGGTATCTACAAATCAAAGTGCATAACTGTGAAGAGCAACTGCCAAGACCTCCCACATATGTACCTCTCCAGAGAAACTCTTCAGCTAGAGGGTATATAAGTCATAGAGACTTAAAATCTAACATTCATTTCTAGTTTCTTAAAGTGGATGGTGATTGTCTCTAAAGACCTAGCATTAATGGAGGCTGAGGAGCAATCTTAGGGGAGGGAAGGAGGCAGGCAGGCTTGGGAGAAGAGATGGTTAGACTCAGGGAATATTTAATTCAGATTTTAGCACTGTTATATAATAAGACTTTATATATTAAATAAAGTGGGGCTAAAATGACTGTAATAAGCAAAAAACATCTATGGATGCATACACACAACCACACATACAAAGAGAACAGGAAACAAATCTTGGATTAACCACTCATTTTTCAAGACTTACAGCCAAAAGAACATATTTTCAGATTGTTAAATAAAACTTTATTCTATGTATGGAGTCTCTGTTTGACATAGGGAGGTTGGCCCAGTCCAGCACACTGTTCTCTGCTTGGGCAAGGTTATTGATTCTACCCTGGGTTCAGAAAGCTTTAGTCACATCCATGACCTCCAGCTCATTTGACCTTCTATTTGATGATGCCATGGACCACAGGCTCCTCAATCTAGATACTTTGCACCTGCCCCCCCCCCCCCTTGGTTAATAAGCAAATACCCTTGGAAAGGGGTTACATTTTAGAGTATATCTAGTGTTATAATCTGGTACTTGGTGAAGTAAGGATCTGCAGGATGGAGGAAGAAATGGAACTCTTAAGTAAAGGAAAAGGGAACAAAGTATAATAATATAATGGAAATGCATTGAATTGGGAGTCAAGAGTCCTGGATTCAGCTGTGTCACTTGCTTCTGTGATACATTGAAAGCTAACTTTGAAGTATTGCCCCCTGATAAACACGGTCACATGTAAACCCGTCTGGTTTTTGTTTCTAAGGTGATGGGCAATATCACCTTTTGTTCAGTCACTCAGCAAGCATTTAGTGAGTACCTGATCAGTGCCAAGCACTGTACTAGGTACTAGAGAAATAATGAGAACAAGTAAGAATTTTATAGAGACAGAATATTGATCAGGGAGAAGAATGGGCAGGATTTAGCAATGTGTTAAAAGATGACACATGATAAAGACTCAAGTTTTAAGAAATTATTCTAGGTTAGGCTTAAAACACTAGAATTTGATGGTGCCATTCCCTGAAATGGTGACTATAGGAGGAAATGCAATGTATGTGGGTTCTATGTTTGCAAGCAACAGATACAATTAAGCAATAAAGGATATGTTTGAACTGGAAGAACAAACAAGCTGCAGAAGGCAGAACCAGCCCACAGATATCTGTAGCAGGAATGTGTGGATTGTCCCCTAGACAGTTGTCATTAGAAGACAGCTTCAGCTACCATCTGCCACTGTGTCCTTTGCAGATCCAGGCTCCCTGGAGAAAGAGTTTGAGGGGAGGCATGCTAGTGTCCTCAGTGTCAGGAAGAAGACTGTTGGTGGGGATGGTAGAAGGACGGTGGATTACAAAGAAGTACAAGGAGCCTGGCCAGTATGCTCAATGGTTGAGCACTGACCTATGAACCAGGAGGTCACAGTTCGATTCCTGGTCAGGGTACATGCCCAGGTTTTGGGCTCCATCCTAAGTGTGGGATGTGCAGGAGGCAGCCAATCAATAATTCTCATCATGATGTTTCTGTATCTCCCTCTCCCTCTCTCTGATATCAATGAAAATCTAACAACAACAACAAAAAAATACAAGGAAACTTATGGGATGACAAAATGTTCTTAATTTTTATTGTGATAGTTTATTACATGTATACATGTGTCAAAATTGATCAAATTGTATGCTTTGTGTGCAGATTTTGGGGTATCTCATACAAATATTTGAGAACTTGCAGGACTTTCTAGTAGGTATGTCCGTTAGGGAACTGAAAATATTTGTTTATATATTTTAATATATTCTTATTAATTTTAGAGAGGGAAAAGGATAGATAGAAACATAAATGAGAAAGACACATTGATCAGCTGCCTCCTGCATACACCCCACTGGGAATCAAGCCAAAACCCAGGCAGGTGCCCTGACTGCAAATCGAACCAGGAACCTCTTGGTTCATGGATTGATGCTCAACCACCGAGCCACACCAGCCAGGCTACATGTTTGTATTTAGAAGACATTTTTCAAAGATTGAATCCTGCTATTTTATTTAAAAACCTTCAGAGGATCTCTTCTGTTATAATGGAGAGAAGGCTGCATTCCCCCCCCCCCCCAAAGGCCTACTGCCTGTATTTTAATACCTCTCCTAGAAGGCATCCCAGTCCTTTGGCACTCAGAATCACTGCTGGGAGTGATACTCCACAGGTATTAGAAGGGTGGGGAAACTGCTGGGAATACAGGCCACCAGCTGTCCAAGGCCCTCCTGGGAATGCCCCACCCATTCATCTGGCAAAACCCTTTTCTCTGCAGGGCTTTCACTGACCCTCATCTCCTAGGAAATGGATTCTTTGTGAAATGAGCCCTTCATTTGTGTATGACACTACTGGAAGTTCCAGAAAGTAGGAGGAAGGGCCAGTGGTTGGGCGGAGTGATAATCTTACTTATCTAGGATAGCTATTCCCAGGTAAGGACCAAACTGTTCATTGAGATATACAAAATGATAAAGTTGTCCAGGGGGAAAAGGCCAGGACTCAGAAGACTCATCTTGGCGGCCACATAAAGGGCTGAAATCCAGTAGAATTGGGCAGAGATGAATATCTCTCATCTCCCATCCTAAGGCCCCTGGAGGTCTGTTGACAAAAGGATGGCTGCTCTAGTTTCTGAGATTTAGCATTTATTCCTTGGAGAACACTGCTAGGTCCTCTCATGAGGCTTCATCATCTGTATGCATCGCTGTGTAAAATTAATTGCAAGAAAGTCTGTGGTTCTATCAGTTTTCAATTCATAATGGAATATGTGCTAAGAGAGACCAACCACAAAACAAGAAAAATTGCAACCTTACCTAGAATTCATGGTCAGCTTGTCAGTAAATACAAGCAATTGTCCACCTTTGGAGTTTAACCCTTAGGATTTCCTTTTCTCGAGTATCCTCTGATCTGAGGACTCATCCATCTTATATGTGCCTTGCCTGTGTGTTACTTTCTTGGTTAGAGTAGTTTTCCCACTCTTGGGCTTTCTTCTTCACTGATCACTGCTATGCCTTTAAAGATAGATTTAAATAAAATGAATTTTATTAACTTACTCTGTTTTATCCTCAGTTTTTACCAAGTAAATAGCATCTTTAGGAATGAAAGTATCTACCCTTGCTTATTTTATGTCTTTGCTTTTTTCCCCCCTCACACTATGTCTCTATTCTCTGAGACTTGCTCTTTCAGTCTTTGTCTCACAAATCAACTTGCACAATCCCTGTCTCTCTCTCAATCTATATAAACATTGATTCCCAAACCTAGATTCCCAAACTCCTTACAGGAATAAGAAGCACAGAAGTGTGTATCACTGGGATGGAAGGCAGAATAACCACAAGAGTTCTAACCCGAACTAGGAAGCCAGGATAGCAATAGCTAGCATTTATTGAGCACTTACTATATGCCAGGTAAGGTTCTAATGCTTTAGATCAGTGATTTTCAACCGGTGTGCCACAAGAATTTTTAAAACATGCAATACCTGACCATGTAGATTGTCAAATTTTCAAAATTACAACAGGGAACACAATAGTCTTCCAGTGTGACTGAATCAAAGTTATACCTATTTTTGTCAGATCAGCAAAAAAATATATATATATTTTTTTATCTGCCCTAGAATTTTAGTAATTAGTTTATGTGTAACCCATTCCATCCTCACAGCAACTCTGAGACAAGTATTGCCCCAACAAGAGAAATTAGACAAGTAATTTATCGCAGATTTCAGAGCCTGTGTTTATACTAGCCCATCCTTAGTCCCTGAGTTCATCATCATTCATTGGGTAACTTTCCTGCCACAAAAAAGTGAGTCAAGAGGAGGCTAAAGTAAGACATTGATTAAACCCTACCATGTGCAGAACCACGTCTATGAAATGAAATGGCTTCACGGGCAGCATCAGCTTCAGCCCCCCCCCCCCCCCCCCCCCATTTCAGAGATGAGGGAACAGATTTTAGAGATGCTATTTACCCAAGTCCCACAAACCAACAAGCTGCGGAGCTGAGACTGTTTGAGTCCAAAGTCCGTGCCGCTCCTCGCCCTCAAATGAACATCCGAAGAGGAAGACCATCCGGATGGGGCCAGGTCCCTCGCCCCCGCCTCCCCGCCCCCCGGCCCGCGGGAGGGTACCGTGCGCTCCAAGCTTCGGGACACCGACCCCTGAACCTCAGTGATAAGTCAATGGGATTGTCCACATTCACTGAAACTTCCAATAAAGTGGGTAGCGAGGGAAGCGAGCGGATCCCAGTCGGCCCGGGGTTCAGCTCCCACGGGCCGCCGCCCACCCAGCGCCGGGGCGAGGGAGGAAGCGCGCCGGACGGAGGGCACGGCGACCGGCGGAGGAGGAAAGCCAGCCTTTCCTCCCTGGGCCCGGCGCCGGCCGCGGCCGGGGAACCTGCAGAGGGCGGCTTCTCTCCTCTTTTCCTGTCCCACCCATCGGCCGGCCCCCACCCCACCCCGCCGCCGGCCTCCCCGGGGCTCCGGCGCCGCGTCCCGGCGGGAGTGCGGCCCCGCGGCCCGCCCCCTCGGCTCCCAGGACGCGCGGAGCGGCGCCGGCCCCGCCGCGGCCCGTCCGACTGGAAAGGTGAGCACGCGGGGCGGGCGCGGCGGCGCCCACACTCCGCGCCGCACCCCGGCCCGGAGGAACCGAAACCGGAGCGGCCGAGCGCGGCCCCGGCCGAGGCCCGGAGCGCAGCGCGGCGCACGGGGAGCCGGTAACGCGGGGGACGGGCCGGGGGCGGAGCGCGGGGGCACCCGGCGCCGCGGACCCGACGTGTCGGGGTCCCCCCGGGTCCGTGGCTGCCCGGCGTCAGAGGCTCGGGCTCGGCCCGGTGGGGTCCGGCCCTCGGGGCCGCAGTGGAGTCGGAGGTCTGTGCGCGGACGGCGCGGGCGGGCCGGGCAGGCAGGACCGCGGGGAGCGGGTCCAGCCCGCGGGCCGGTGGTTTGGGGCCGAAAGGCGGCTAAGGCCCCCGCCTCCCATTCATCCGGGCCCGGCTCACCCCCAACGCCGCCCCGGCCGCCACGCGGCCCCGAGCCAGGTGCAGGTCTGCGACCCCCAACCTGACCCCTGGAGGGCGGCTCCGCCGACTCCGGGCTGGAGGGGCCGGGGGCCGGGGGCCGGGACCGAGGTCGGCGAGCTGGGGCCGCTGCTCATTTTGCAACTTGCTCGGGCTGGTGACTGTGACCCGGTGGCAGGACCTCGGGGGAGGACATTCAAAGATGATGCACCCCGAACACCGGCGGTCTCCCGGGTCTGCTCTTTTTTTTTTTTTTTTAAACATATTTTATTGATTTTTTATAGAGAGGAAGGGAGAGGGATAGATAGCTAGAAACATAGATTAGAGAGGAACAGCTGCCTCTCTCACCTCCCCACCCCCCACCGGGGATGTGCCTGCAACCCAGGTACATGCCCTTGACTGAAATCGAACCCGGGACCCTTGAGTCCACAGGCCGACGCTCCATCCATTGAGCCACACAGGTTTCGGCCGGACCTGCTCTTGATAACCGCAGCCTGGGGAGTTACCCAGGGAAACCAAACAAGGGTGCAGGGCCAGCTCCACAGGGAAGAGGGGATGGGGAAGGGACTCCGGGAAACCTAGCACCAGCGGCTTCTGGCATTTCCAGTTGTTTCCTCCCTTCCCTCCCCCCTCACTCCTGCCTCTCCCCGCTTCCTGCAGATCTGCTCCTGCCTCCACGTGCCCATCGCTGGCGGCCATGACTAGCCTCCCGGTCACACCTCCAGCTCCTCACGGTGCCCATCCGCTGGCTGCCATGACCGGCCTCCCCACCACGCCTTCTCCAGCAGGTAGGTGAAGGCCTGTGCCAGGTGGAATGGTGGGCCCTTTTCAGCCTCCTCACCCCCAGCCCGGTCTCTGGATGCCCTGAGGCCTCAGGCCAGATGGGAAGACCTCTGGCTGCCTCACCCCTGGAAGGTCCTGGGAGGAAGTAGGAGGCAATTAGCATGCACTTTGGTGCGTTTGCATCGAAGTGGGCTGGGCCAGTTCCGGGCACTACCGCTTAATGCTTTGTGTCACTGAGTTATCTAACCTCTAAGCTACATTTCCTTATTTGTATAATGGGGGAGATAATACCTATCTTATGGGGTTATTTGTAAGACAACCTATATAAAACATCTAGTACAGTGTCTCAGCTCTAATAAGCTCTCAATAGCATTGATGATGATGATTGTTGTTGTTATTATGTGTTTGTTGAAAACCCACCTTTTCCTGGAAAGGAATTCTGCGTCTTTCTAATTGCACTCCTCTGGTGATACATTCCAGGATAAAAAAAAAAAAAAAAAACATTGTTCCTGGAGCTATGCTCTCATCGCTTTGAGAATGGATTCCCACCAAGCTGATCTGCTTATGAAATATATTCAGTGATTACTGTCGTTGTGTGCTAGTTAGGTTAAGGGAGGAAGTATAACCCGATTGGTCCAGTCACCTTTGTGTTCATATGCATAGCTTCGTTTATCATCAGGACAGACATTCTCTGTTTTACTGATGTGGAAACGGGTGCATGGCAACCCCAAGGAAAGCTAAAGCAATGTCCTCAGTGATGCACACAATTCAGGCTGTTAGTTGTCTGGTGAGAGAAAGGGGAGACATGGGTAGAAGGTTAGATTGGTTGGCAGAGTCCTCCTGCATGGGGGAGGGGCAGAGAATGGATATGGCAGAGTGGGGTACAGACAGCATTGCACAGAGGTGGTACATGTGGGAATCTGCAGAGATTGCATTTCCCCCGGAGGGCTTCTGAAAGAGGAGAAGAGAGGGCAGAGGTCCTGCAGAATAAGCCTGCCCATGGGGAAACCACGTGATGCTGGGGCAGCTAGCTGAGCAATCAGCACTTGGGTAAAAGGAGAGGTATTTACATTCCTTTTCTCTTTTTAAAAAAAAATTGTGATAAATTACACATAATATGTGTTCCCATTTTTTGGTGGACAGTATAGTGATATTAAGTATTAGCCTTCAGAGTGCTGTGCAACCATCACTACCATCCATCTCCAGAGCTTTTCCATATTCCTGAACTCTGTATTCATTAACCAGTAGCTCCCCGTTCCCTCTCCCCCCAGCCCTTGGTCACCACCGTTACACTTCCTGTCTGTATAAATTTGACTAAGTACCTTGTAGAAGTGGAATCGTATTTGTCCTTTTGTGTCTGATAGCATAACATCTCCAGGTTTCATCCATGTGGTAGCATATCAGAACTTCTTTCCTTTTTAAAGACTGAATTATATTATTTATATACATAATAAATCAGTTCGTTTATCCGTTCATCTACTGATAGATACTTCAGTTGTTTCTATCTTTTGGCTATTGTGAATAATGGTGCTATGAACATGGGCGTACAGATCTCTCTCCGAGTCTCTGCTTTCAATTTTTTTGGGTATATACCCAAAAGTGGAATTGTTGAATCATGTGGTAATTCTGTGTTTAACTTTTTTGAGGAACTGCCATACTTTTCCTTTTTTAAAATATATTTTTATTGATTTCAGAGAAGAAGGAAGAGGGAGATAGAAACATCAATGATTAGAGAAACCATTGATCTGCTGCCTCCTGCATGCCCCACACTGGGGATCGAGCCCATAACCTGGGCACGTGCCCTGGCCCGGAATCAAACCATTACCTCCTGGTTCATAGGTCAACGCTTAACCACTGAGCCACACCGGCCAGGCTGCCAGCCTTTTTCACAGTGGCTGCACCATTTTACATTCCCACCAGCAGTGCACAAGAGTTCCACTTTTTCCACATTCTCATTACTTTATCTTTTTATATAGTAGCTATTTTAATGGGTGCGAAGTGGTATCTCACTGTGGCTTTGATTTACATTGCCCCAATGATTAGTGATGTTGAGCTGAATATCTTCCTTGGAGAAATGTCTATTCAAGCCCTGTGCCCATTTTTTATTTGCCTTGTTTTGTTGTTCTTGTTGAATTGTATATTTACACTCTTTTTTTATTTTATTGATTTTTTATAGAGAGGAAGAGAGAGGGACAGAGAGTTAGAAACATCGATGAGAGAGAATCATCAATCAGCTGCCTCTTGCACACCCCCTACTGGGGATGTGCCTGCAACCAAGGTACATGCCCTTGACCGGAATCGAACCTGGGACCTTTCAGTCTTCAGGCCAACGCTCTATCCACTGAGCCGAACCGGTTTCGGCTATATTTACATTCTTGACCCACCTAGTGACATCAGTTAGTGATATAGTATTTTAGGATGTGTCGCACAGTCCCCTCTCACTGGGTCCAAGCAGATATTAAGTTCAGAGACAATACGGGAGAAATCACAGTGAGATCATTGAGGGTCTTGTCCTTCCCCACCTGTCCCCTCCCATCCTTTCCCCTAGTCCATCCATAAAGATCTAAAGGAACTAACCTCTTGGAGGGTTGAAAGTGAGGGCCACGCCCTAGCTGGTTTGGCTCAGTGGATAGAGTGTCAACCTGAGGACTGAAGGGTCCAGGTTCAATTCCAGTCAAGGCCACATGCCTGGGTGGTGAGTTCAATTCCCAGAAGGAAGCAGCCGATCAGTGATTCTCTCTCATCATTGATGTTTCTATCCCTCCCTCTCTTCTTTCCTCTCTGAAATCAATAAAAATATATTTTGTAAAAAAGATTATCATCTTTAAAAAAAAAAAAAAGATATATATTATTAGAATGTTGGCCTCTGGACTGAAGGGTCCTGGGTTTGATTCCAGTCAAGACACATACCTGGGTTGCATGTTCGATCCCCAGTCCTGGTCAGAGCCTGTGCAGGAGGCAACCAATCGATGCATTTCTCTCGCATAGAAGTTTCTCTCTCTGTCTCTCCCCCTCCCTTCCGCTCTCTAAAAATCAATGAAAAAATAGCCTCGGGTGAGGACTATCAAATAAACAAAAAGATACATTTTAAAAATCACATTTTACACCTGTGTTGGTGTAAGGAAAAAAGTAATATTAAAGTTGTACGTAAAATTAACAATTAATTGATATCAGCATTACAATTTCCTTGACCTAAATGTTCAAATTTTTCCTGTACATTTAAAAGAAATGAAAATCATTAAAAGCCATTTTCATGGGCCCCTAGAAGGATCAGGAAGCCGAGGCTCAGTGCCTGCTGTGCCCAGTGCCCAAGTCGCCCTGCAGGAAGTGAGATGGAGCGGAACCCGCCACTGTGGGCTCTGCCTCCCACCAGGAAAGCCCATTTCTTCCCGCCTGGTCACACTCGCTGCCTCCGAGGTTTTCCTCACTCTGGACTGGACACTCAGTATTTTTCATCTCACTTATTTATTTATTTATTTTTTTTACCAAAACCCTATTTTTTTACCAAAACCCTATTTTTTTTACCAAAACCCTTCGGTCTCATTTTACAGAAGCCAAAGCTGAGGTTCAGGGAAGTTTCAGGAAGTTTCAGAGGTTGAGAAACTCTCCCAAGGTCAGTGTGGCTAACAGGCAGAAGGGGGTTTGTGCCACGGCTGGCTTGCTCCGGAGCCTGTTCTTCCCCCGGCACTCTGCTCTTAAAGCGCCGCGCCACCCCCGGCCACATGAGAGAGGGAGAAAGGGAGCAGAATTCCAGGGCGGTTCCCGTGGGAAGGAGGCCTGGGAGCCGCCCTGCGCTGGGCAGCTCGAGAGCAAATAAGTAGGTTGGCAGACTCAGGTGGCAAAGGATCCGATGCCTCCATGATAAGAGATTTAGGGGAACAAGGGACACAAAGAAACCAACCTGTATCTGGTTTAGCGCACCCCAGAGCGGAGGGTGAGCGAGCCAAACAGGTCTCCACGTTCATTTGCTGTTGGTGAGGATTTGGGTGGGACGTCTTTGTGGTCCTGAGCCCCAGGCCTGCCCCCTGCGAGAGAAGCCGGCCGCACCAGAGCACTGCCCAGCCCGAGGAGGGGAGGCGGAGAGTGGCATCATGAGTCCTTTGTTGGGCAGCAGACAGGGGAGAAATGGGGTAGCCACGGGAGATAGCGGGGGGAAGCTGTAAGCCATCCCCGCTTCTATCCCAGGCTTCCTGAACTTTGTTAACCTTGGTTGTTGTTTTCATTAAAAAGCTAGCTCATGCCCCTCAAAATAGCCTCCTTGACCTTTCCTCTATAGACGTGTGTGTGTGTGTGTGTGTGTGTGTGCGTGTGTTTATGATTTTATTTTCATTTACAGTTTTCACAAACGTGTAATCATCTTACATGCTGCCCCGGCAATTTTGCTTTTTTTCATCTCACCACACGTCCTGTCCCGCGGTACATGCAGACCTGCCACATTCTTCTTAACTGCTGTATAGTGTTTCCAGAATGATTGGCCTGTAATTTACCTAATCCTCCTCCTCCCTGTGGACATTCAGCTATGTGTCACTCTCGCAAACAGTGCAGCAGGGAGCACCCTTCCCGTCGGCAGTAAAACCCGGAGAACACACTCGGTTTCGCTGGGGGCAGCGCCTGGTGAAGGAGCCTGGCCCAGGTTTGGGACCCAGCGCAGCCACCTGCTGAGCGGCCCTGCTCTTCCTGAGCTGCTCCAGCTTCTCGGTGTGTACAGAATGATAACAACAACCCTGTCTACGTCCTGTTCTCGGTTAGGGTGGAGACAGAGTAATGTATGTCTTGTAAACTGTAAATCATAATTATAGATAATAATCCTGATACTTGAAGCCGGAAACTCTCCAGCTCATCAGTTCTCAGGACAGTTTTTGACCTTTAGTCTGAGACAAGCACTTTTTGTGTATGTTCAAAATTTTTAATTTTTTTAAAAGTATATTTTATTGATTTTTTTTTTTTTTTTTACAGAGAGGAAGAGAGAAGGATAGAGAGTTAGAAACATCGATGAGAGAGAATC